TTATAAAAAGTGCTATGAAGAAATCCATATTTAAAATGATTAATAAAACGTCTATTCACAAGCGACTGCAATTAACATTAACCAGTAATAAGTCCTATCATGTAATTTTTATAAGTCAGTAACCTTTCTACAAACATTAACTCCCAAAGTTTTCTTAGCCAAAGAAACTTACACCCTTGCATGTTAATTCTTTGATTATTGTGTAAGATGAAAGCATCACAACAAACATATGTTTACGCAACACATAATGGAGTTAGTCAGCAATAAAAATCAGAATATCTTTGTTCATGATAATTCATGTTACCATGTACTTTATGGGACTGTTGGAAAAACACTTTGGTCTTGATGATTTGACAATATACGAATAGAGTATCAGTGTTTACTTTTTACGTAAAATGAATTTTGAAGAAGTCACTTCGAAATATTCACTCGAGATTCGTTAAAATTCATGAATTTAATATAAAAACAGGATTATAATTTTTACTAAGCATATCTGTGAAGGCGATGTAGTATCACTGACTAATGGGAAATCTTTGTAAGACCACATTGAAATCAATGAATTGAGTTTAAGAGGAATCGTAATCATCGAGGCCCGATCGAAGCTGCTACCTTGACGCGGTGGTCGGGCTTGCCTATCGTGATGACCCAACCGAGCTATATTGGCTGGAACATATGTTCCTGCAGGTTCTACCATGCCAGGCAGGTCGATTGGCGAACGGTAAGACTAAAAGCAGCAACTCAAGGTCTGAGGGCGAAGTCGTACTGCTGACTGTAGAGGGGTGTGACAGCAGTAAGGTGTTTCCCTCGGACAACCAGCATGACAGCGATGCTGCCTTCCCACAAGGAGGGGTGGGGTTAGAAAAGGTCGACCCTAAAAATGCACACCTCACCTTACCTCACGGATTTCCGTCTCCGGCGGTAAGGCCCCTTGAAGAACGGAGCTAACACGTCAAAAACCTTCCACAAAAAGGCCGTGCGCGACCGGCCTCAAGCAGTTGTCCCTTGGGCTCTGCGGTCACGCTCCCAGGTCGTCAAGACCAACACTAATCCAATTTCCTTTTCAGGTTCATCAAGAAATACCCTTCCACGGTGTGGGCAGCCGGGAAGTGACATCAGCCCTCATACCCGTAACAGCACAAGAGACCAAGGTGGTCACATTCAAATCCTTCCTACACCTCCTAATACCTCTCTTATCCTCCCGACTAACCCTCCTCACGTCTCTTTATCACCTCGCACCGCTAGGGCAAACGATTCGAGTACGTGGAACGCCATTCCTGGGCTCCTGAAACCACGCTCTAAACTACACGTAGGAGCTTTTAACGTACGAACACTGTGCCAAATAGGACAACAGGCTTCCTTAGCTAGGACTTTAGAATCTCGCGCCATCGATGTGTGCTGCGTCTCCGAAACGCGCATACAAGATCCGAGTAGCGTCATTCATTTGACCTCACCATGCCAAAATAAACAACCGACTCGATTTACGCTTCGTGTATCTGGAAGCCCTGATTCTGCTTCCCGTGGCCTCGCCGGCGTAGGTATAGCATTGAGTCCTAGGGCAGAACTAGCTCTCTTAGAGTGGATCCCAGTAAACAGTCGTTTGTGCGCTGTCCGACTGAACGGAACAGTAAGAATCCGGAAAGATAGGGACACTCGTCGTTGCCTCTTCGTCGTCTCTGCCTATTCTCCCACTGACTGCAGCTCAGATGATGTAAAAGATGAGTTTTACAGAAAGCTTTCGGACCTTCTCCGAAAAGCTAAGCGCTCGGATGTAGTAATAGTGGCCGGTGACTTTAATGCTCAAGTAGGTAAACTAAGCGATAAGGAAAGACACCTAGGTGGATCCTATGGTGTCGTGGCTCAAAGAACAGATAATGGCGACCGTCTGTTGCAGCTATGCTCAGATAACCGCCTGTTCCTTGCAAATACTAACTTTAAACATAAGGAAAAACATCTTTTAACATGGCGACCCCCTAATTCGTCCCAACGTTGGACCCAAATAGATCACATCGCTATCAGCCACCGATGGAGGGGCTCGATAGAAGACTGTCGCTCATTCTGGAGCACATGCCTAGATTCAGATCATGCTCTAGTGCGAGCGCGTATTTGCTTGCGTCTTACTGGACGTAGGAAAGATCCTGCAAGGAAACCTCTTAGGGCCCTACTTAATGATAGTCAAGCTAAGAGTATATTTCAGGAACAACTAGGAAAAGAGTTAGGCAGCCATGTATGTGATGCCCACCCCGAGGCAGCATGGAACGATATCCGAAAAGCTGTGGAAACAGCAGTGATATCTGCTAGTAAGGTAAACCGTAAAGTTAGGGAGCAACACTGGATCTCAACAGCATCTATCGCACTGATAGATGCTCGAAAACTCATTCCACCTGGCTCTGAACATAATGAAGAGCGGAGTGAGCTTAAGCGCAAGCTGACAAGAAGTCTACGCAATGATCGCGAACAGTGGTGGGTAGCGAAAGCAAGAGAGATGGAAAAGGCAGCGGCAATAGGTAATAGCAGACAATTGTTTAGACTCGTTAAGGAAACCGGAATTAGGAAACCGACCGTTAGCGAAACAATCTCAGAGAAAGATGGACATATTATTCATTCTCAATCCAGGAGATTAGATCGATGGGCAGAACACTTTAGGGATCAGTTCAACTGGCCTTCAGCCACACTTCGGTTTCCCACGATCTCCAGTCAACCTGAATGGCAAGTTAATGTAAGTCCTCCGTCCCTTTACGAAGTTGAAAAAGCCATAAGAAATCTGAAACGAGGGAGAGCAGCAGGCCCTGACATGTTTACTCCTGAGATTTTTAAGGATGGTGGTCCAGTATTAGCAGCAAGATTAACTGAGGTCTTAGGTAGAATTTGGGAACTGGACGTAATCCCATCTGACTGGTCTCAATCACTGATTGTGCCAGTTTTTAAGAAAGGACAAAAGTCCTCTTGTGACAATCACAGAGGAATCAGTTTGACTAATATAGTGTCTAAAATATTGGCTTCAATAATACTTCGACGCCTAACTAAAGCTCGTGAAGAACAGACTAGAGAAAACCAGGCTGGTTTTCGACCTGGACGTGGTTGTATAGACCACATATTCACACTACGTCAGGTTCTAGAACACAGACACACATTCAGACGCCCCACAATGGTAGTATTTCTCGACCTTAAGGCGGCATTCGACTCCGTTGATCGTGAGGTTCTATGGCAGTGTTTGTCACTGAAAGGAGTACCAAAGAAGTACATTAACCTTATAAAGGCCCTCTACTCGAACACAACTGGTAGAGTGAGAGCTTATGGCGAACTGTCATCAGAATTGATCACCTCAAGTGGTGTTCGTCAGGGCTGTCCACTCTCCCCATTCTTGTTCAACTTTGTCATTGACGTACTTTTAGAGATAACACTCTCCTCATCTAAATTTCCAGGGGTTGAACTTCTACCGGGAGGTTCACTTGTTGACTTAGAATATGCAGATGACATAGTTTTATTTGGTGAAGACGCTGACAAAATGCAGAGTCTTCTGACCACTCTAAGCAACAATGCAAGCATGTTCGGGATGCGATTCTCTCCCTCGAAATGTAAAATGTTGCTTCAGGATTGGGTTACATCGACACCCGAACTAGTGATAGGGAGTGAAGTAGTTGAGTGTGTCGACCGCTTCACTTATCTTGGAAGTCTCATCAGCCCTTGTGGTTTGGTTTGTGACGAAATCTCAGCACGGATACAGAAGGCTCGACTAGCTTTTGCCAACTTGCGTCATTTATGGCGTAGGCGAGATATCCGTCTATCAACCAAAGGACGTGTTTACTGCGCAGCAGTTCGTTCCGTCCTACTTTATGGCAGTGAAACATGGCCGGTAAGAGTAGAGGATATCCGTAGGTTACTAGTATTCGATCATAGGTGTCTTCGAAACATTGCTCGTATATCATGGGACCATCGAGTAAGTAACACAGTTGTCAGGAAACGGGTACTAGGTAAGGATGGCAAATCAATTGATGAAGTAGTGAAACTTCATCAGTTGAGATGGCTGGGACACGTGTTACGTATGCCCAACGACCGACTGCCTCGACGTGCTATGTTCAGTGGTATAGGAGTAGGTTGGAAGAAAGCTAGGGGCGGCCAGACCAAAACATGGCACAAGTCCATGAAGTCACTGACAAGTGAACTGAGTCATGTTGGTAGGTGTAGACTACCTGGTTGGGGACCGCGAGATGACAGCAACCGATGGTTAGAGACCCTGAATGACATGGCTCAAAATCGTTCGCAATGGCGCAGGTGCATCCACTCTCTGTGTTCTCCCAAACTCTAATCTTCTGAATTCTTCATGTCCCTTTTTCCCTCTTCCCAAATTTCTTTCACCGGATTATACTCTTTAAATAACATCTCCAAACCCTAATCTTCCCGATTACTGCTTATACTCTTGCTACCTTTACCACTACGGGATTTGAATCGACCACTGCATCTCTGTGCTAATGTGGTGTGGCAACTCGAACTGATGTACGTACGTACGAAGTTCTACGTTGTTACTGACTGACTGACTGACTGAATCATCGAGGACTGATTATCTTACAACTTGTATTTCTTTATTCAAGAACTGTTCCATAACTGTGTTTCACTATGATTAATTTGACAAAATGTTACATACTGATCCCTTACTGTTAATTTTAGATTTCTCATGTGAAGCTGAGTAATACAAACTGGAACCCTGTAGAGATCAGTCGTTTGAAGATTACAAGTACGCCTTGTCCACAGGTGCCAGGTAGAACGAAACATACGTCAGGCATTTCTTATCAACTTCTTTCAACTAAATAACAACTCTATGTAGTACACAAAATGCCGAACTACTTGGAGTAGTGGACATATTGCGACTAGATTGATAGAAATCAATTAAAACTGAAAGACCAAACAAATATGACGCTGGTTACTAGTCAGTGGTCAATATAATTCCACTATGCTCCAGGTAGTAATCTAATACGTTCAATCAAAAATACACAGAGCGGTTAAATTGAAAAGAATGATTTTAAGTGTTGATCATTATTATCACAATGGAGAAACAAATGTTTATTTCAAATAAATAAAATTGAAAATATCAATAAAACAAGACACAGCTGTCAAACTATTAAAACATACCAAAATAAGAGTTTAATTAAAAAAAAGAGAAAATAAAACAGAGGAAAGGAATCCCTTCCATTGCCTTGGTCAACGAGAAAAAAAGGTTTATATAACATCACCTCCTTCTTCGTCAACAACAACATTCGATTTTTTCGCCGCCGTCGTCACCACCACTATTTCTTCCTCTTCTAAACCTTTAATATTTTGAAGTGACGTCTTCAAACTGGAGACCAGTTGTTGGATAGTTGAATTTTCGGAACAATTTAAAATATTACCAAATTTGGGCACAATGGTTTTGATTAAAAATTCTAAATTGATTATGATGATAGATTGCTAAAATAGAAAAACAAAACAAAATGTGTACAAGGAAATTTACGCAAATCATGAAATGAAAATTAACCAAACAAAAGTGATGAACATGTAATTTCATGAACAAAATTGTTATGGTTTTTCCTATAAGGGTCAATGAACAAAGTTTTTTCGACTAACACTGCTCAAAAGATTTTCTAATGCATAAGCGACCCAAACTTCTGTTGACAATGAGACTACTAATTGACATCCGAACTGATTCTCATGTGACTAAATCAGGTATATATATATATATATATCAGTTACACTATTGATATAGTAAGCAATACATGAATCTGGTAGTTAGGCCATAGTTTTACTCGATTGATAAATGGCCTACAAAATCGGAATTCGACAATCGCTTACATTCTACATAAATCCTTAAATCCATCTTTCTACCGTACACCACGAACTGATCTTAGTAAAAAAAACATTGAAAACCAAGAAACACCGGACAATCGTTTCGGGTATCCATGATCCAATCGGGGATTAAGGACAAGACTATCAAGTTTCGCAACGAGCGCCTAACAGTTAAACAGCTGTGACGGCAGTTAATAGCTTAAATCATTTTGCGGTATCGAACAATTACACTAGGATGAAATAGATGTCCAGTGCTTTTCGGTTTGATTATTTAAGAGCAGTTCGTGATGTCAGCTGGAAAATCCAACAATCTCAACAAACTTTCCACCCATCCCATCCAGTAAACTATTTTCCTATTAAATATTCTGTACACATGTATAGAATTCCTTTATATAAATACAATTTACTTTGCTAAACAGTCATTATGTCATCTAATATTTGTTTATGAAAAGTTTTTCTATCAATAATTCAGATATTTTAAACAAATACTCACCACGTACATTGTAACAAAATTAAGTTGATCAACCAAATCTTAGCTTTGGTTTAACAAAACAAATAGATCAAGTAAACAAATTAAACTGGAATGTCGTAGATTACTTACTCTAGCCGGATCAGAAATATCAATAGGTGAAACACGTTCAAAACAATCAAGTTCTGAATTTAATGTTTGTACGAAACACGATATTAAAGTTAAATCTAACTCGGAACAATTTAATAGATGGACACTTTGAATAAATTGTCGTAGAGACCGAATAAGGTAATATGTACTCATTGTTAATTTTAAACCATCTGAAAAATAATAATAAAAGGATAGTAAAGTATGATAATACAAATTATGTAGAAGCAAATTTATGATTTGTTGCATTTTTAAAATAACACATTCTTGAATTGCAATGAATCTGTGTGATCGGGCTGTTTACTATGAGAGGAATTGAATTATCTAGTTCGATAACCGACTTATTTGCTTATATTGCTTGTAGGACCAGTGATCTTTTCATGAACCAGTAAAGTAACGAGCTTTTCTTGGGCTATCTTACGGTGACTGTAAATAAAAACGGAAAAATCTTAAATGCTTGTTGACCCACAAGTTACCTTCTATCAGAAGAGGAAGATGACAGGGAGAATAATTTTTATTGTACTCATTACTTACGACTTAAAAACGATAAAAAAAAACTTCAAATAATTGACTGCATGGCAACAAAAATAATTAAATCACCAACCTGCAAAAGCTTTTGTAGACTTAAATAATCAATAGTAGATACTTCGTTTGAAGGTGTACCTCAAAAGTACATAAACCGTGTGAAAGCTCTTTACTCGAACACTACTAATCGAGTCAGAGCTTATGGCGAACTGTCATCTGATTTTGCAACCTCAAGTGATATCCGTCAAGGCTGTCCACTTTCTCCATTTTTGTTAAACTTTATCATAATCATACTGATGGAAATATCACTCTCATCGACTGAATTTTCGGACATTGATCTCCTAGCAGGATGTCCGCTTATTGACTTAGAATACTTAGATGACAGTCCAGTTTGGTGAAGAAGGTGATAAGACGCAATTTTTTGGTAACACTGAGCAACAATGCCAGGATGTTTGGGATGCGCTTCTCCACCTCTAAATGCAGGACTGGTCTGCGTCAACACCTTAACTAAGGATAGGGAGTGAAGTAGTTGAACGCGTCGCAACTTCACTTATCTTGGAAGTCTGATCAGCCATAATGGGTTTGCGTCTGACGAAATCTCAGCATGGATTCGAAAAGCTCGTTTGGCTTTTGACAACTTACGTCACCTATGGCGAAGGCGAGATATCCGCCTATCAATTAAAAGACGACTATACTGCTCAACAGTTCGTTCTGCTCTACATTACGGCTGCGAAACGTGGCCATTAAGAGTAGAAGATATTCGTAAGCTACTAGTATTTGACCACAGATGCCTTAGAAATATTGCTCGCATCTGCTGGGATCACCGGGTACATAATAGTGAGGTTAGACGTAGGGTATTAGGGAATGATGGTAAATTAGTTGATGAGGTTGTGAATCTTCATCGACTGAGATGAATGGGCCACATGTTACGTATGCCTGAACACTGATTACCACGACGCGCAATCCTGATTACTGTTGGGGACGGCTGGAAGAAAATTAGGAGCAGCCAAATCAAAACGTGGTATCAGTCCTTAAAGTCAACAACTTCTGGTCTGGGCCATGTTGGTAGATGCAGACTACTTGGTTGGGGTCCGCGTGACTTTCGTAACCAATGGTTGGAGACTCTTGGTGACATGGCTCAGAGTCGATCACAATGGCGTCGGTGTATACACTCCCTGTCTTCCCTTATACTTTGAGATTAAAATCGCTTCATATCTTTCTTTCTATGAACTAATTTTTTCTTCTTGTACTATATCCTCAAATACAATCTTTCTTTTATATATTACCACCATTAAATTAACTACTATGAATTCGGTGTTCATTTTGCTGTGCTAATGAGGTATGGCAACTTGGACCGATGCATGTATGTGCCTGGTCCTACGTTGTAGCTGACTGAGATACTTCAAAATGCTTGCCGGTATTTATGTTTTGTGTCTCAGTTTTCAGCAGTAAAATTATTGTATCAAGCTGACTAAGAACTATAACACAAGTGTATCGAGAAAGTGTATATAGTCTAGTGAATGTGAAGGATTTACAAAATGTCCAAACCATTAAATATTTCAATGTTAACCAACGTGAAAATCGTAGACGTAAGAAAAACGTAAAATATACAAAGACAAGGTTCTAGAAAATGAAAAGTGATGATAAGACTGTGTAATAATGACTGTAAAGATCAATAAATTAATATGTTTAAAAGAGACACAATAGTGAAAAAAGTAGTTCAGCATTGACAGCATAAAGAAAAAAAGATATTAACCTCACTAAATGTTATAAATCAAAGTTATTAAGGTAGTGTAGAAGTCTGATATGGAAGATCCATCTAGAGGAATTGGCAAACCTTGATTCCAAAACATTGGTGCACATGGGCTCCAGTATCCTGAGGAAACAAATGGTGTATGAACCTATTGTTGGTCACTGGCTACCATGGGACCGCATGTCCTAACGTTGCTCCACTGCCTTGTGGATCAGACCTCTAGGTCAAAGCCTCAGGGAGGTACACTTTAAGAAAAACCCCTGCTTTGGTTTAGGCGGGTGGGTAGTGTTTTAGAAGTCACACAAATCAACTGTTCGAGCATTTCTACAATTTTTTAAAATAACTATTACCATTAGTAATATATTTTTTTGATATCCCAATCAGTGGAAGACTGTATTTTTGACGTTTCGTGACATAATGTAAATTACTTCTTACATTAAGTCACGAAATGTCAGAAATACAATTTTCTACTCATTGGAATATCGCAATAATACATTTATTATTAACTTCCTACAAAATGTTCAATTCATTTAAAACTATAAAGTCCAACCTCAGCATTGATACATATAAATTATTATCATTGTTTCTAGATTGTAAGTACCTGACAAGAATTCATGACATAAATAAGGGGACATAAATTAAGGGACCTTATACATATGAATGAACAACACGTTTAAAATATAACTTACAATCAGCTGCGGTATATTGGTTGAGTATTCCAAATTCCAATAGATCTGCAATGATTTTATCTTGTTCCCCTTTAGGTAGATTTGATAAAGTTTCCCAAGATTCTTGCTGAGAAAATAAATCAGAAACACACTATATACACTGACAAGTACTTTAACTGTAATCTTCAAGTGTATATTAAGTGATTACAAAATAGAGAATGAAAAATTTATTTTAAACGTTCAACAGAGAAGTGTATGTATTTGTTTGTAAACAATATCAGAATATAACGTGGTGTGGTGTATGGTAGTGTGAACATTTATTTATATTACAATTATCACCAGTCACGGTTGTGTATGAGTAAAATTGAGTCAATCAAAATAGGCAAACAGGAGTGTAAAGTTGCATTTACCAACTCATTCGTTAATATGAGACGGAATTGCTAATGACGCCTCAGTTTCTTGTAAATGACTGTTGGAATTTTTGTATGAAAATAATCGCGATAACGTCTTTAAATTCATATCTTCACAGTGACTTTGGCTGTCATATGACTGATTGTTGTCACGTTTAGTTTGCTACTTTTGTCGTGACATAAGGTCCACTGTTATACAGACAGAATTGTTCAACTTGAAATAAATCGCAAGAGACACTTACTATTAGTTATTCGTCCGCGCATAACTCCGAAGATGAAATCAATACAATTCACATTTTTATCAGTTTCATAGTACAGCAGCCTTTAAATTAAGGTACATTTACATATTAGAGTCCTCGAAGAAATACTACAGAAAATTCAATAAAACTCATTTATTATGTTATTTGAACTGCAATCAGGTGTATAACCAAATGTTACTTATAGGTTTTGTTCCAATTTACAGTGCTCTCAGTTCGTACAGGTCCGTTCAACGGAAAACTGTTTAAACGATTGATCACCAAATGTCCAAAACTGAATGGTATCCACACCTCGGACAGTTAACAAGAACCGATTACTTATAATCCCATAGGGCCATTGAGAGATTGGTATTAATTCATCATACCAACTAGACAAGTTCGAGTGAATAGCCTCAAGTGGATCTTCCGTGTTAATTCCAAAGAGCATAACAAATACCCGTATCTTAAAATGTGATTCCTAATATAAGTCCATTGTTAAATAGGATATAGCCTGTAGATGTTGGAATCATCAGTACTAAATAAACAACTGTCATTTAATGCGACGAGAAATGATACTTTGAAAACAGCAGAAACTATAAAATGGATATTTAAAACGGAGACGGTAATAAAGACAGGACAAAAAAACACTGATGATTGCTGATGAATAGATGGAAAGTTTAAGCTAAAGAAAATCTGAATTAGTGAGTGATAGCTGACACTTGTAATTAGTCAACTGGAGGATACTCAGAAGATACTTGCTAATCATTGGTCAAACATAGCGTTTTTAGATGTGACGGTACTTGGGGAGTTTTATTTCTCTTTTAAAGAATCATGTCATTGGAAACAAAAGATAAGCGGTAAGGGTATGTTTTGCAAACTTCAGCGTCAGTTTTAATTACTCCCCTCCTATTCAAAGAGAGAGGACAACATGATTGAGTTATTTATAAGAAATATCTTACGACTGTGATATTTCAGTTGATCCAAAAGCACGATTTCATAATTGAAAACTTTTTCTTATCCAAATTAATTACAGTCTGAAAAGTGGTGCTTTTAAATCTGAAATACTAAAGTCAATTTTTCTAGCATGTTAGGATCTTAATAAATAAGAATTTTCAGTATTACAGCTTAAATAAGTAAGCTTGATCACCACATCGTGATAGTAGCGGTCAAGTTCACAGTCCAAATGATTCAATAGGATGTAAGATTCTTAATATAACTCTCGTTTGGTGAGTGGCATGTAATAAAGACAAGCTGAAATTAAACACGAGCACTGTATTACGCCTCATGTAAAGTCTGTCCTGCATCTACATAGGAGAACCAGGTTGAGAACGAACCGAAGTATCTTACACAACAACTAACATATTCTCTTGTTTTTTTGACCATAAGTTTGATGACTAAGACCAGTTGTAACTTGACCAGTAATTATGAGATTGATCTTTTTCTTTTACGACATTTAAGAAGCAGCTTAATGTAAGCAAAACTTTATTGACATCAGTTTTCTATTATTAAAATAACAAGTTATGGACTGAAAAATACGATAGTTACTTTTGCACGATTTTCAACAGCTTCACAGAGTAAACGTGACTGTTCATCAGCAGCACGTTTCCATGCACGTGATAAGCTTCGATTGAGAGTAGAAGAAATATCAACACTCAGTAATTCAGTAAGCTAATCAAAGAAAAACAATACATGTTTGTTTTAATTTACAATAGTAATTTAGGTATAATAGTAATTCAATATACAATGGTGCATTGAAAAAAAAGAATTATAACGTACTATCATAATTGCCGAACATATGAAAGACCATTGATTAAATATGATAGAATATTCCTGGGTTCCTTTCTGCATGTATTAATTGTGTGGAAAGCATAAATGATCGATAACAAATATGTACTTATTTTTTTACTTTATAAGATAAAAACAACTAATATAACTACGAATATGACTAATTACAAATATCAATACATATTAAGGTCAAACAGATATTTTATTAGATGTGTAAATGTATACAAAGAAACTGACAGGCTTTTTAACAAGCGAATTAATAACAATTATTATGTCTTAATAAAAATATTCAGTAATAATAGTAGAGATTACAAACCACATCTACTAAGTGCAGGTTCATCTATGCGGATTTCAACCAATAGCTCGGAGCCTCTCCACCTAATTCCGTCTGGATGGCCAAGTGGTATCACTAGGCCTACACAAAAGCAATGTGGTTCAAAAGTTTAGCATAAGAAACGGTACTTGGTAAGTGAGTTACACTAAAACCTTGGGTTTGAACCACGCCTTTGTGTGAGTTAATGAGTAATATTACGCAGTTGTCTAAGTCGCACTAGGCGGAGCAATGTTAGAACTTATGACCTCTAGGTTTGAATCCGAACACTCTAACCATCAACCCATCCTTTTAGGCATGAAAAAAATTCAGTCCTCTTAGATAAACTTTACTAATTTCTCACCTTATCAGCATGTGCCTTAATTCGTTGAGCAGCATAAGCCATTGAATAAAATGATACTGCATGACTATCGATCAGTAGAACACGAAGTTGTTGACCGAATTTCTCAGTCTCATCCAATGCCCAACTATAAAATTCTATTTGTTTTTTAAAATAAGTAAAGCCTTTTTAATAAAAATTGGAATGGAAATATTTGAAAATCAATCTTGTTAAACTATTTAAAAATAAAACGAGTCTTTCGTTTCTTATGATTACGGCATGAACATTTTCCTACCCGAGATTTGTAAATATTTTAAGTTAGTGAGTAATAAAATAGTCCCATGTATTGGTGACCATAATCGCTTTTGGTTTTTTTTATCAATTAATTGGCTTTTTGACATGTTATCGAGAAATGTTGGATGCACCGGTAAATCAAGCACAGTTGACTGTCAAAGTTTACCTTAATTATCGTTTCGAGAATTTTAACCATTGCATTAAATCTGAAATTCAGAGAGAACACACTGAAAACTATCTGGTCGGTTATCAGGGTCGTATTTATTTACCATGTATTATTTTTTGGAAATAGTAAGGCACTTGGAGCCTAAGAATAGTAATGTGTGACTCATTCAGTAGCTGCATCAATAAGGCGTTTAGTTGAGAACCATAATAGTTTCTGCGCACAAAACACAAATCATTACACCTCCAGCAACTCAGATGTAAGGAAGAAAGATGTGTTAAACCTTATTTCTTGAGAACCTATAAGACAATCTGAGGAGACAAATTTTACCTGTTTATGCACAACCATTGAAATGTTTCGAAATATGCGCCATGAATAAATGCAATCGATTTCACTCAGGATCGTTGTACAAAACTGATAAAAAAAGATTGTCTAGTAAGCTGATACGTCAATCACAATCTAAAACTGTGAGAAAGAAAGTGATAAATGAAGGAGCAAGTACATTTTGGATCGCAGAGGACATGAGGCATATGAACTGAAGAGTGCAAAAGTAAATTGATTATGTAAAACCAGCTACAGAGATCAAAAGACCAGCAAGCGAAGAACGTGTTCCTTGAATCAGTTCTACGTGCGTTTAACTTGTCAATGATTAGCAGAGAGCTGTCATTAAGGAGGCTGATCGGTTAAAGGAGAACATAGCCTTCTTTTCTTATTTCCAAGTGTGGCTGTCTCGCTGAAGAGCCATTACATTAAATAACAGAGTTGTTCCACTGAGAAATAATCAATCAATTGGTTTCTGGTTCTGTCTTCTGAAATCAAATCAATCTCAATTAAGAGAACTGTTCTATGAGCGAATAGTCTGTGAAAACACTATAAGTACTTTAATGATTTTTCAAGACCTATGTCGTTGGGACAAGAGATACCTCCAATCATGAAATTAACATCTCAAGCCATATCTGTTAATTTAAGTACCAATTTAAAATTATGCAAAAAGACTTTATAAATCTGCTTTATCTTTGATACCTAATTTGAGAGTTTATAATTAACAACAGAGTAAGACGGAATAAAGAAAAATAAGTGAAAATCGATAGCGATAAGTTAGTTGTTTCCAGAAATATACCACCTGACTGCAACAGACAATTAATGGTAACTAGAAAAATCGAAGCCAAACTTAAAATAACAAAAACCCTAATAATTCCTCCAACAAACTAATTAACATCCACAATGTTGATAAATGATAATTTATCGGATATTTGGATGGTTTTATACAGTGATAACACGAAACCGATGGTCGTAAAAAAAATAAAATTTCCAAGTTTACGTTCAACATACTAAACTGTTTACAATATATGTATACTTGGATCTCATGAAACTAATAATGATATTTTTGTCAATTAATTACCTAAAGCGAGAAATTATCAAGTGGTTGGTAGTAATGATGTAAAACACAATCAAAACTAAAAACTAAAATAAACGTTTTGTAATTACAATTCCAATATATTTTAGTAACTATTGGTTCCCTTAAATTGAAATTAAAGACACTCTATTACCCAATTGAAAGTATCATTGTTCTTTTTTTTCTTTTCACACGCACCATACATTTTTATCTCTTCCCATTCTCATTATTATCGTGTGGCGCATATGTAGCTGGTGCCCCCTTGTACCAATATTTGTGTTCAAATAAACAATAATTATCAAACAAGTAACTACAAAATACATCTAAGCAATAATATATAACTAAAATAAATGAGTTGGAGAACAGTTTCTATTAGATGAAATGAAAGCTTATTAACATCATGGGGGAAATTGTAAACTCCATGTGATAAAATGACTGGATAATTCAAGAACATTTTGAAAATAACATACTATAATGTGACTTTAAGCAACGCTTACAATGTAAACTTACTTAAAGAACAGATATTTTCAAATTGTTGCGGTGATATACCATTAGTTTTTGAGGCAAGAATTTCACCCAACGGTTTAACTACACTTTGACACCATTCTACAGCTGTTTCAGCTAAATTACGATGGAAAGTAAGCGATAATTTATTTAAATAGATTAATTGATTGCCTTCTTGATGTACACCATGTGTTAAAGACTTTGTCATTACTTGTGAACGATAAACTAGAAATAATTCAGCTGCAAGAGATGCTTTACCAAGTAAACCTAATTGAGAAACAGCTGCTTTCACGGATTTAGGAGCGCCTTTAGAAGGGAAATATTTTTAACAAATAAACGGAAATGGAAAATAAATTTTAAGGAAATAGTGTAATGGAGAAATTAAGAATCAAATCATATGATACCAATTATATTCAAATGACCGATTGTTATCATTAATCTAATGTTAATGACTGAGTAGGTTTAGAATTAACTAAAAATATCAAGCACTAAATAGAAATAACATTAACAAATACAGATTCCAAGCATTACATACCATGTCTACAAGCTGCTGATACTAATTCATATTGCAAAGATTCTGTAAGATTTCGTTCGTTACGTTCAATACGCTTAGATAATTTCTCCCAATCTGTTTTAGATCTATGATCAACAGTATCAGATATTTGACCTGGTGTACTAGAATTAGATGACTGTATATTTGTATCCATAGATGGTTTTGATATATCTCCAGTCAGTATTTGATTTAATGATTCTTTAGCTTTTACAATTAAATTAGTAGCATGTTGAAAATTTCGTTCAGAAATTGCTACATCTAAATCTTCTGGTACATCCCATAACCAATTATGTCGAGATTTATGAGTTCCAACTTTTGCCATGGGAGATTTAACAGCTACGTTTTCAATAGAAAGGAAAACAATTTAAGATTTTAATAAGTGCATTTTGAAGGATTAAAACAATAAATAGGTTATTTTAAGAATTCCATCCATATATCCATGAATAAGAAAAATGAAGCTAGATAACAATTGGATATTCAAATGATTGGAGCATAAAGATAGTTACAGACAACTTCATGAAACGTTGATTAATTATAAGACGAACTTTTATCACAATCCGATAGCAATTAAGCAATAAATATTTGACATCTGTCGCTTCATTCAAGAATGAAGACCTAAACGTTTGAATTATCTAACAGATATTCGGCTTTACAGAAAGTGAATCCGTAAATAATGTTTAAGATTTTCGGACATTAGGTAATTATTAACATGACTAAGTCGTTATCTAATGATCCTAATGGATATTTCTGCCCAATCGTGGCTGATGACACAAGTAATAGCCTTCAGTAACAACTTCGGAAAACTTACTTTGAAATAAATATTAAATGTGAGGTTGCTGAGAGTGAGAGAAACTACTTTCATTATAAAACACTAATACTTAAAAAAGGAGGATGGATATCTACGGATGAAACCAGAGATGAATTGCGCCGAATAAAGCAGATATAGAGAATTTGGTTTCCAGTTTATTATATTACAGAATAATTGATGATGTGTGATTGATAAGCTTCGTGCCACAATGGATACTGCCTGATTTTCAGAAGTTTTCAAATGTTGCTATTTCATACGGAAGACAATGATTGACATGATTCGAACTTTAAAAATGTAGCCCTGGACCGCTAAAACATAATGATGCTAACAGATTATTTGGAAACTTCCTGAGATGTACTGTTATCGTCATGGAATGAATTATGTATTATTTACTCCGAAAGCGCCAAAATAGCAAGATTTTTATACAAGTGCACATGATCGAACAATAGAAATGAAATACGCACAAATGATAGGTGGACGAGTATGAAGACGAATTACATTAACAACAGAAAATGAGTTTTACATTTTAACGAAATATAGCGTGTCATTTACCAAAGAAACTTACTTTCATGGGAATCATCAAAAGGATTTTTTTTAGCAGACAAGTCCAATTTATCGATAGGTGTTAAGAGGTCTACACAATCAGGTAAAGTGGAAGACAAAGCTTTATGACCAGCAACAACAGCTTCAGCAGATACCTTTGGAGGTAACATACTCAACTTCATAGAATTGTGATCCAAAACGTCATAAGAATTTGTAGTAATATGGGAATCGGATTTTAAATTTGATGCAACATACGAATTAGTATTTCGATATTTACGCATCGCTTCATCCAATAATGTTAACCAACGTTTCTAAAATAAAATGAACAAAATAGTTACATGGATAAAACAAATAAAAGACACAAGATCAAGTTTCTAACAGAGATACAAAACAAGCAATTATAAACCATATAATTAATGATAATACGTAACTATCTAGACAGAAATAAATAGGACAAACAGTAACTTATTTTTTTCAGGTGGATACGTTACATCAGGGAAACTAACTTGATGTACTAATCATGTATATCTTTCAAACAAGTGAAAAATAAGAGGCTTAGTGGGTAGGATGTTTCTGATACGGTTTCCTAAAATTGCTTATTCAAATTTATATGGTGATTTGACGATTTTCTGTCGTTTCAAGAAAACAGCTTGACTAGTTTCTGTAGTTTTATATTGAAGAATATTACAAAACATAATCTCATGGAACTGATGTGTGGAGAAACAGGAATATCTGAGACTGTTTTAAACCATTCGCCGAAATATTTTATAAGAATTTCAGAGAGATTTGAGTAATAAGCAGATTTGAAAACCCTTTCCCCTACCAGTTAGTATCTACAGCCTTAACACGAAAAGTGTGGCTAGATTCAATTGTATAAACTTGTATTTGACGAACGAATTTCTTTTAAAACACTGACCAAAAGTGTGGTCTTCTGAAATGCATGGATTATTTTAATATAATGAAGTGTTGATCGAATGACAGTCCATACAGTATTTCATATTAAGCACATAATTTATTGTTTGAAGATGAAAAGTGGAAACTCGGACAATACTATGAATAAATGTATATATATATGAAGTTTATGAAAAATCACAAGCTGGAAGATGTGTCCATAAATTGCACAACTCGAAAAATATTGTAGTTTGTCTTAATTTACTTTTAAATCCAAGCACTGTAATTGAGACAATAAGCCAAGTATAACATTGATTACTGTTCAGATGTCAAGGAATGTAGTTTTAATACGTATAAATAAGTTAAAGCGAACCGATTATTTGGCAGATACAATCATTATTCATACCTTGTCACCGGGCGTTTCAGTTTGGAAAAGACGATTAGTAGGAAAAACTATTAATTTAAACGCATTATTTGGAGTTTGAAGGCGATCCATGGGAGGAAAATTAGCCACAGCAAAGTTGTTCAAATCATACGTTGACTGAAGACGATATGGGTACGAGCTGTAAACGGAAGTAAAATTTGTGTTAACAAGTAATACCTAGGATAACTTGTAAAATCTAAAATCAACACGAAGTTTCATATTATATATTCTTGACTTCAAGCTTTCCTACTATATAATCTTTCCATGTATTACAGCTAACATCATATATTGAGAGTAAATAAGTTAGGACAAGTAACATGTTTTGATTGTACATTAACCATTGATTAGTAGCCCTCAATAATGCCTACACACTGATTACGCAAAATACATAGGAAGACAATAAAGTACTGACTACTAGGTATAAATGCAATTCACCCATGTTGTTCATCTATAGCAGATATATTTGTTCTACAATAGGACCTAGCCCAGTGCCTTAATTTAAGGTAAACTCTTGATGTATGAAAATCTGTCTCGATAGTGATGACCAATCTTTTAAATGTATTTCTATTTATTTGATGATCAATTTGCGTTGATTGTCTTAATCACTAAAAAGTTTCGAATTTATCCTCCAAAAATCGAACTGGTTCTACTCAATAAAGTTAAGAACCTCGAAGCATGTTGCTATGACAGAACACAAGTAAGTGTTCACACTAATGAAATGACTGAAGTGGGTAAAATGGAAAATTTTCCTCAAATCCTAGCTGAATATACCCCAGAAGATAAAGCCGCTAGCTAAATGGCAGTTGTTAAGGAATTAAAAATCCTACATAAACATAAAATACTCAACGAAAATGGTTTGGATTGGTAGGGATGAAAATGGAACTCATAGAGAGATCAATGGTTGCTCACCATTGTCTATCGTATTACATGTGCCGTTAACCACAATTCAAACAAAGAGGGATATGTGACAATATCAACTGTATACTATGACTATAAATGAAAATGGAAAACTGATCTATCTAATAACTTGAAATAAGTGAATACTCATAGCTGAAGTATTAGTTTTAATAAGACTTACGAACCAGATTGACTGTGATATGCAATAATCAAAGTATCTGTTAATACAAAGACCCGAGCCATGCAAACAAAAGTGAAATCATTCATACTTAATTCGCGCAGATCCCCATCAAATATAACACGACGACTTGAATCCCCAACCAAAACCTGGTTCGAAAATATCAAATATTAACAAAACGAAGATTTTTAATATTACGGATACAAGAAAATGCTTATTTTTAAATAACTATGATCATATTCAAATCTGCCCAAATGCTTTTATATGGTTGATCAATAGATTTAATTCATTCTGTTTTATGATTATTTATACCAGCGGGAAAGTTCTGCTTAATGACTTGGCGTCGCTAGGGTACATAATCTCAAACAAAAAGCGAATATCTATAGATTATCCTCATTTATAGACACTAATTCGATCAAAAGGGTTTCAAAACTGTATTTCTAAACCACTGATACAGGTGACACTAGAAATATGAAGGAAAGAATGGAGCATGAACTCACCAAACCAGTGTTAAGTTAAGAAGTAACGTAAAAGCATGAAATAGGGGTAAAGTATTAAGTGTAAATTGGAATAATTAAGCATCCTTTAAAAACAGGTGAACTTCATAGTAAAAAGTATTATTGAGACCTCCTTTTAGTCTATGATGGTGACTAGCAGCAATCAGTAACATTTATAACTCATCAGCACAAGGTTACCAATTAAAATGGATAAACCAGATTGATCTATAAAAATGAGCGATAACAAATAATTACTTATATCAACTGTGTATTATAGGTGTCGAAACTCCTAATCACAGTTTGTACGGAAGTGGACGTCAAGATTTCCATAATAAATAGAAACATACAGGTAGAATAAATCTGCCTTTCGTAAAACTCATATGAGAAAAACAACAGGTTGCAATCTAGAAGAAAAACCGTGGGGTTTCGTAAATCATACTTGGGAAAATCTTTTAACATTCCTCAACAACCTGAAGGGATAAAGATGAGGTACACTACTGAGATTTTACAACAGTTTATCTTAAAGATAATTCGTAAATAAACTTCAAATGGGGCAGTCTATTCTGTATCGTGCCCAAATACGTAATATAGACTTATTCAATAGGTCGCACAATAGAATGTTGGGATTAAAACGCAAAATTACATTCCTTTATTCTGTGATTTTTGTTCAAGATACGATATTCTTGTATTGAATTAACATGAAGTATGCTCATCATGACATGTAGCATATGATTTGTTGTGACTATTATTTATGTGATTCCATCCTAATTAATAATTGAAATAGGTGTACAATCAATACATAAATGAGTGTATTATCGACTAGGGTCGTCGTTGTGTTTTGGGGTTAATAAATCTTCACTTGTACCAGTTTTTGTGTTCTTACTTTAGCGTCGTAGGAATTGCAACGGTTCTTCATCTTACAATTATAAGTGACAAGCGATTCCGACGTAACAATTAGCGACAACCGGACATAACAATTTGTGACGCATCGGCGATGACTGTGCCGAAAGCTGGTGCTAGCCAGAAACAGGTTGTGGTCTGTGCACAGTTGCAGTAGACGGTCCCCGTTATCTGTCCTGTGATCAACAAGTCCCCATCGGCCACCTAAACGACTCTCTTCTGTGCCTAGACGCCCGACCTGAGCATTCAAGTCTTTGGCCAGTACTACAATATCTGTCGAACGCACTTTCTGGAGAACAGATAACTGGTGGTAAAACTCACCGTTGATTGCTTCTCACTTTGATGGAACTCTCTAACTTAACAGCACATAACTGACTGTTAATGGGGATCCAATCAACTAGTGCTGCCTCAGCTCTAGCGCTTAGTGCGACACCAACGCCATAACAGGGCATTTGGGGGCTACTGGAAAGAATGGAAAATAACAACCGAGTGACCAGAACAAATATGTAGCTTGTTTCGACCAATAAATACTTAGTAACAAATAACCTGATATGGTAAAAGACCAGTGTATCTAGCTGAACTGATAATTCTATAACCAAAGATTGCATCGAAAAACACAATCGATAAATTATTTTCAGCTCTAAGGATTATGTTAAGATGAAAATAAAAGTAATGATTTCAAGCGCTTTTATAAACCTTTTCCAAATTGCTTATAAATGCATCATTCAGTGAATAATCCCAAATGCAAGAAACGTATATATCTAATATATCAATCTAGATTACACATGTCTAAATTTTGAAAGCAAATAAACTTACGGAAGCTCCCTCTACCAGTTCGGCCAATTGGGTTGCCGAAATTCCAGAATGCTCACTACAGGGTAAGTTTTCAGTTTTTTCATCAACCTGTGATATGGACACAGCACGTTCTGAAGCAGATACATCAGTAATAATGTCTTGAAAACATGAAAAAGCAAACAATTTGATCTAATATTGTCACACGTCTTAGAAATTAGTGAGCAATACATTGCTGTTTGCGAAGCTCACTTAAAATAAGTGATGGGGAAAAAATACTGAAAAGTTAGATTTTACTTTTACTTCGTTAGTAATTAGAATAGGAACCAAGACCTTTTAAGTTTATGATAACAGCATAGTCTGGTAATCAATACTTACGGCCCTTATGAGGCCACTATTTAAAATTGATAATCCACCTCAACCATAAAATGGGCAACAATAAATAAGGAACACTAATAAGCTCCCATTACATGACTTGTCGATAAGTGTATTCACAAATAATAATATAGTAGCTCTAAAAACTATTTATCTGAAGATCACGAAATGATGGCTGTGCAGCCACTTGTATTACATAAGAAGTCCATAGAATGGACGATAAAAAGATCTCAGGCCATTGTGGGAATACATAGTTATTAGTAAATACTTATTTCAATGTCAGGAGATACTTTAGTATCGACAAAGATTAATTTTGCCGTATTTTCAACACTTTTCCAACCTCATGGAATCACCATATCCGGTTTAGCAAAAGAAACGTCTTTGAAAAACTCATAAAAACAATGGAAAATCGACTGATTACAAGAGTTCATTAACATAGGAGTCAGTTTATTCATTTGTGAAAATATAAATATACAAATCTGGTGCGGTAATCATTTTAAACAGGTTCTCCACATAACTCATAAGATTCACTAACTGTTCTATGATCAAATGAATGAGTAAACACTAAGTTGATGCTCTTCTTACGAAAGCTACTAAGCTAACTATTGAGATAGTGTACTAGGAAGAAAACACAAACCATATGGTACTGTCATAAACCAAAATAATTGGGTTGCTTTACTGGTTACGCCCACTGAAGATCATGAGTAGATTAACCGTAAACGATATCAATATCAAAACCATGACCTAGCTCATGATCTAACCTAATCATGAACTAAAAACATACTAGAACTAAGTTGAGGAGGAACCAAACAAAGATACGTACTTTGTGAGACTAATCGTAAATATACTGCTAACTGAATTGTAGTGGCTACAGATACTGGACGTCTCGGTTGAAAGTTCAGTTTACTCTATTAGGATAATAAGCCACTGAACTATCTAGTGCAATGTACATACAGAAAAACAAGCAACTTAGAAAAGAACATCTTACCGTTAAATAAAGATAGCTCAGTAAGAGTATTCATTACACGTTGCTTCTCAGTAAATTCGTTGTGAATTTGGTGCATTGTATTTTCTAATTGGCTAGCGGCTTTACCAGCCTTAATAAACAGTTTGTAATTTTCAAAAACTGCACGTTTCATCTTGCTGGCAGCTTCAGAGGATATAATGTTAACTTTTTCCAGCATATTGCTAGTAGCCGTATCTCCATTTTTGGATACATTTTTCGCAACTGAAGAATTAAAAAATATTAGAATTGTTAAGCAAACCAAAGTGATATTCATTTGCTGAAGTTTCTGGAGTTAAAATTTATCTTTCTTAAACACATAAACATAGGTACAAAAAGGCACCAAATAGATATGCGCCACATAAATCATTTGATTTGTGTGAGGGCTAGGATACCGCCCATGTGTCCAAACCGAAGCAGGTGGTTCTCTTAAGGGGTCACACCCCGAGCCTTTGACCTAAAGGTTTAATTTACAAGGCAGTGGAGCAACGTAAGAAGATGCAGTCCAATGGTTGCTGGTGACCAACGATTGGTTTATATGCCCTTGGATCCTGGAGCCCATGTGCATCATTGGTTTGGAATTAGGGTTTTCCAACCTAGGCAGAATCTCTGTGTCCACAAACCCGGCCAAAGCTCCAGATATTCGCTTTTCGTTTTCTCAATTCCGTAAAAAACAGTAATACCGCGAGGAGGCAGTGAGTAGGACTCCCTTGACAGTGGTTGTAGGCACGTGGACGTGAGGGCATTTCGAGAGGGCGAGTTGAGTCTCTCCACCCTCGGCCGTACCATGGCATTTAGGGGTTAAAAATTATCTAAAATAATTACGAGTTACAAATAATAGAAATGAGGCCATGTGACATTTAACTGTCAAATGGCAATTGTCAAACTGTATTTACTTTCCACCCAACTATATAACTAAAGTGATTTTATTCACCAGGATTCCGATAGTTCGGAAGGCTCAAAACTCTAGTGTGATGACAATGCATCCGATCATGGTAGGATATACACTACCCAATTTCCCAAATTAACTTGGGAGAGTTTATAAATTTATAAACTCTGATATTTAAGGGTTAGAACTAACGAGCGAAGCTTGTAAAAATGTACGACGGGGAATGATGTCTTCCTCACATTTTTCACTGTTAAAAGTTGGTTTCGCAAACACTCTTCGAAGACCCCCAATATCCGATACCTCGAACCCAACTACGTTACGCGCTTGATTTGTCTGCGTTGACATTTGTATATATGAAGGTCAATTGTAATTGAAAGACAGGAGAGGATATATTTTATTTTTGTAGATTGTTGTACTTTGCACCTACAAAATGCCGAAAACATATACTCAACCACGTATTTTAGTAATTCGTGAGTAGGCAGAAGCAACTCACCCCTTTTAGAGGTAAATCCTCAAAATAATTAGTTCCGTCAGTCTTCGAAATTGATAGTGGTCTGATTAGTTCCACTGGACACACTCTGGATGAAGGCTCTCGGCCACGCATCCTCATCAGATCACGAGTATGTTTGCCATGCTACGCATCCCTTGCGTCCACTTACAGACTTACGCCTAGTACTCCCAATGGAGTATAGGCCGCCGACCGGCATTCTCAAACCCCCTCTGTCCTGGGCCTTCCTTTCTAGTTTTATCCAATTCTTTCATTCTTCCCATGTCTGTCTCCATTCCTCGGCGTAATATGTTCCTTGGTCTTCCTCTTCTCCTTCGACCTTGAGGATTCCATGTGAGGGCTTGTCTTGTGACGCAGTTGGGTGCTTTCCTCAATGTGTGTTCTATCCACTTCCAGCACTTCTTCCTGATTTCCTCATCCTCTGGGATCTGGTTTGTTCTCTCCCACAATAGGTTGTTGCTAATAGTGTCTGGCCAACGGATGCGAAGTATTTTGCATAGACAACAGTTAATAAACACTTGTATCTTCTGCGTGATGGCTTTCGTAGTTCTCCAGGTTTCCACCCCATACGGTAGAACTGCCTTGACATTTGTGTTGAAAATCCTGACCTTGGTGTTGGTTGACAGTTGTTTTCAGTTCCAGATGCTCTTCAGTTGTAAATATGCTGCTCTTGCCTCACCGATCCGCGCCTTCACATCTGCATCAGATCCACCCTGTTCATCAATGATGCTGCCCAGATATGTGAAGGTTTTTACATCTTCCAAATCTTCTCCGTCAATTGTGGTTGGATTGGTACACGTTTTGTTGTATCGGAGAATCCTGCTTTTCTCTTTGTGTATATTGAGACCTACTACTGCTGAGGCTGGTCGTCCTCTCCTACATTTGTTGTTGCGTTTGCGATAGAAGGGCCAGATCATCTGCGAAGTCTAGATCGTCCAGCTGCATCCTAGATGTCTATTGTATCCCGTGCCTTCCTTCAGATGTTGACGTCTTCATAATCCGGTCGATCACTAGGAGAAAGAGAAAGGGTGAGGGCAAACAACGTTGCCTGACACCGGTCTTCACCTCGAACGAGTCTATGAGCTGTCCTGCTTGCATGATTTAATCCATCATAGGAATTCCATATGATATTGACTATCTTCTGGGGAACGCCGTTGTATCGAAGAAGTTTCCATAGCGTTGTTCTGTCCACGATATCAAATGGTTCTTCGTAGTCAATGAAATTGATGTAGAGTGATGAATTCCATTCAATTGATTGTTCCACAATGATCCGTAGCGTTGCGATTCGGTCTGTATACTACCGGACTTTACAGGATCCAGCCTATTGGTCTCTAAGTTGGGCGTCCACGGAGTCCTTCATCCTGTTTATCAACACCCTATTGAAGACTTTTCCTGGTATTGAGAAATGATTGATGCCCCTGTAGTTATCACACTTGCTCAGATCGCCTTTCTTCGGTATTTTGATCAGAAGTCCTTCTTTCCAGTCTTTTGGTACTTGTTCCTCATCCCAAATCTTATTGAAGAGAATGTGGAGTATCTTTGCAGTTGCCGCTACGTCTGCTTTCAGTGCCTCTGCTGGAATGTTGTCCGGTCCTGCTGCTTTGCCACTCTTGATTTGTCTGATGGCCATGCTGATTTCTTCAATTGTTGGTGGGCCAACATTGATCGGGAGGTCCATGAGTGCTACTTAGGTGTTAGGTGGGTTCAGTGGGGCTGGTCGACTCAAGAGGTCTTTGAAATGTTCTACCCACCTGTTTCGATGTTCTTCGATGTTAATGAATACTTTGCCCTGCTTGTTTTTCACTGGCCGTTCTGGTTTACGGTGTTTCACAGAGAGTTTCTTTGTTATGTCATACAATTGTCTCATGTTTCTTTCTCTTACAGCCTTTTCCTCCGTCATTGCTAAATCTTCCGCATATTTACGTTTTCCAGTTCTCATGCTCCCCTTCACTTACTTGTTTACTTCTGTGTATTCAGCTTGTGTATTCAGTCTTGGTTCGGTCGGCAGGTGACTCTTTGGCTCATCTATGAGCTGTGAGTTACTAACCGGTTGTAGTGGATCTGTGCGGTGTGTTGAAGATGGCGGCTTTGCATGCGTACCTAGACCTTCGGGCATTGTCGAGTCTTGTCGGCTTGTTACTACCTTCAGCTGGTCGGCTGATGGCTTGACTTCGTCACGTTAGCGGTTGCGTGTGTGTTTTGCATTGGGCCAATAGTCTGTAGTGTAGTGGTAGACACCCGTCTTGAAACACGGGCCAAAGAGTTTGACATGTGTGCGAGCCATCGTGTGTTATGAAACCCAAAGGCGAAGTGAAGTTTAATGTTCGGCTTGTCCGGACTGAAGTGTTGTCTTGCTTGTACTTTCCAGGTTGCGAACAGCGGGCGCATCACCGGCCCGTCCCATGACGTAGATATGTGACCTCGTGTAGTGTGCACCGTCGAGGCGGAGCAAAAGCATACACGTTGAGACACGAAAGATGGTGAACTATGCTTGTGAAGGTTGAAGCCAGAGGAAACTCTGGTGGAGGACCGCAGCGATCCTGACGTACAAATCAATCGTATAACGTGAGTATAGTGGCGAAAGACTAATCGAACTATCTAGTAGCTGGTTCCCTCCGAAGTTTCCTTCAGGATAGCTGGCATTCTGAGAAATAAACAGTTTTATCCGGTAAGGCTAATGATTAGAGGCATTGGGGAGAAATCTTCTCCAACCTATTCTCAAACTATCAATGGGTGAGAAGCTGAACTCGCTTAGTTGGAGTTTTGCATTGAATGCGAGTGCCAAGTGGGCCATTTTTTTGGTAAGGAGAACTGGCGCTGTGGGATGAACCGAACGTTCGAATAAGGTGCCTAACACGATGCACATGAGATACCACAAAAGGTGTTGATTGGTCTAGACAGCAGGATAGTGACCATGGAAATCAGAAGCCGCTAAGGGGTGTGTAACAACTCACCTGCCGAATCAACCAGCCATGAAAATGGATGGTGCTTGAGCGTTGGACCTATACCGGACCATTGCTGTAAGCTGGGCCTATGCTGTGTGATGGCAAGCTGCACTTGGTTCAGGTATGGAGTAACGGCAACGAGTAGGAGGGTCGCTGTGGCTCGCGGGAAGCCTAGGTAAAGCAATCACAGGCGCAGATCTTGGTGTTTGTAGCAAATATTCAAGTGAGTACCTTGAGAGCCGAGGCGGAGAAGGGTTCTATGGGAACAGCAGTTAACCAAGGGTCAGGCGATCCTAAGTGATCCGGTAAATCGGAACAGAGACATGGGTGCCTGACATTGTCCGTTCGAGGGCTTTGCTCAGTAATCTGCAAAGCACTGTTGCATTGCAGCCCTCTGTAGCAAAAGGTAACCGGGTTAATATTCCCGACCCTGTCCACGGAGATTGATGCGCGTCGGGCCTTTGGTTCGGCGTGCGCCCAGCGCGGTAATGCAGTCGACCTCGGAGACGTGGGAGTTCTGGGAAGAGTTCTCTTTTCTTTGTTAGGAGTGCATCCACCCCTTGGTAATCGGCTTGTCCGGAGATAGGGGGCTACCCTCCGTGAAGCACCACCATTTTTGTGGTGTCCGGAACGCTTTTGTCAGCTATTGAAAATCTGAGCGAAGCAGTATAAGTTTCGTGGCAGGCCGTACCCATATTCGCATCAGGTCTCCAAGGTGAACAGCGTTTGGCAATTCAACAATTTAGGTGAGGCCACTCGGCAAATTGGATCCGTAACTTCGGGAGAAGGATTGGCTCTGGGGGCCGAATCAGACAGACCGAGATCAGGTACGTGTCGGTCCAGTTTAGGGCTGGTTTTTTGCTGCTTTGCGTGCTTCGGTGCGCATTGTGGTTCGGTTACTGAACTCTGACCCGGGTCGATCGTGAGCAGTTTCAGCTGTTAGTGTCCTGCAGCCAGCAACGCGCGAGGACTTGTTCCACTTCGCGTCAAGCGGCTGTACTTCCATGGTCTGGCGCGCGACGGCTAACTCAGAACTGGCACGGATCAGAAGGATCCGACTGTCTAATAAAAACAAAGCATTAGGGTGTCCATTGATTGGTCTTGACACAATGTGATTTATGCCCAGTGCTCTGAATGTCAAAGTGAAGAAATTCAACCAAGCACGAGTAAACGGTGGGCGTAACTAGCACTAGAGACATGTGCACTAGTGTACTTGATCACCCAATAGACACTTGCAACACGTCTGCAGGCAACCATGTCAACCATAACAATTTTATTTCAAACCCTAATACTTCCATCATTGGCAACTCCAAGAGCAGTCAAGCGGGACATAACCTCAATCAAACTATTCACGACTCATAACCGTACAAATATCTAGTTAATGTAACGGTGAATCCCGATCACTAAATTACAAAACTGTACACAAAGCAGCTGCAATCATTCCTCTTAAGCTAAAACGCTTAAATACTTTTGAATCTAAATCCAGTTATACCTTTACAGTTCCCCATTATCACTCCAGAGGCTTCGATAAATGTCCAAAAAGACTTAAAATGTCATAGAAATTGTTATAATATCTGTAGCTGCTCGATCACGGAAATGCGAAATAACACAAGGAATGCAGCACACATAGTTCACAACCTGCATCTGTCGATAACACTAGATGACTCTAAAACAAACACTGTGAACTGACAACATCCACTCATTCTAGTGCTAGACTATACCTATTTAGCGTCACGCCTACTTTGAGTGAGTATTGAGAGTTCCAAGAATCAGAACACAACCATACATAACAGAAACACCTCCCTTGACAATAATCTCAGACAAAGTCTCATTTCTAACCCGAAACACACAACACGCTTAGCTACCCATGACAGGGCTGTAATGATCCAAAGTACTCAAGAAAGCTACACCATTGGCCTATTTGGCCACCCACTTAGCGATTCCAGACACTTTCCGAGTCTAGCTGCTCTACGAAACTCTTTGGTCTCCTCAGTTCGACATTAACACCACCTCTCCCATTTTTGTTTCCACCTCTTGACATTGTTTATGGGAAGTCTCGAGGGCGATGATCCCACTCTTTTGAGACCAGTCTTTATACGCTCCAACCTAAAGAGGAGTGATATATCTTCCTCTCCATTGATGACTGTCCTTCACCATAAAAAGCTCTTTGGCTAAACCTCCTAGCCACTCCCGAAATACCCTTCTTATCCATTCAACCCACTCTACTCCACCTGTCACTCCTAAACATATTTCTTTCGCCAAACTACCATCTAACCATTCTTCTCCCACTATACATATAGAAACTAAGACAAGCGAACATGAATATTGGCCCAGTACTTCTAATTCTCCCTCTTCTTCCCATGACAGAACAAAAAACCCACTACATTTACATCACACCCTCCTATTGGATCTCATATAATAAATAGTAAAACCAACCAAGTTATTAGTTCTGGTGGTAGGGGTTGAAAAAAGGTGTGATGATTATTGCACAAAATACATCAGCTTTTTTGATAGACAACAATATCATCTCAAAATACTGTTTCTAATCTTTGATTTTTGTCCCCATCGAAATACTACACACAGTCTTTCTTAACGAATCAAATATTTTGTTTGCTCACACCAAGAAATAACTCCTAGGTTAAATGTAATGAATGAAAGGAAAGCGCCAATTTGACGTCGATTGGTGTCTTCGTTTGTTGTGGGAGATGACAGTTTGTTAATTAGCTAAAATACACTATGATATTATGGATGACAGTGGAAATAATCTTCACAAAAAACAGGGTACCAGGTTAGTATGTAGCAGTTTTCCTTTACTTCTTTATTATAGGGTCTTCAAGAAAAGCAGCCCAAATGGAAAAGTAATGGTGGTTTTAACTGTATTTTCTCGTAGATCACAACATACTTGTGCAAAAGGGATTTCATCGACAGTCTAGCAGATGTAGATCCGATTGGTGAGGCCTGTGTAATCTATTTGAGTTTAATATGTATTTCGAATTCGGAATGTATATTTCGAAATATACTTTTATGTGTAATATGTACAAATGACATGTTAACTGTCTTTATATCAAGCTTGTTGTATCAGTAACTTTTCGTTCTACTTACTACATGTCAGTAGTTACTTACAAAAGTTTCGCGATGTCAGAGAAACCACATATTTTTGGATGTTATATGCTGTACTTATATATTTCAACACTTCATCCCAACCAAATTTTATTTAGAATGATCTGTTATTACAGTGCTTTATGATTTCATCTGGTTGCAGGACAACTGCACTTCTAAATCCATATGTGCAATTGGAGTGGCTTATTGGGGAACCGTTTTTGGCGATAATTGAGAAACTGGAAGATGGATACAAAGATATTTTATCAAATGTTTTCTTTGAATTATATCAGACGACAGAATAACATTCTAAAAGTTAAAGTTATGGCGCTTTATTTCTACATTACAGACATTTACATGTTGGAATCTCAGTTTCCTCACATAAATATTAAAAGTAATATAGTAATATAAGCATAGCTAGTCATATTAGTCAAACAGAATATACGAAATCGTAATTCAAAGTTTACGTGATCTATATACAACTTCTACTTTTCAGAGGGCGTCGTATTGGTTGACCCAGAGTATGTCAAGGGACGGAAGGTGTTCACTCACGTTTTATCAGCATTTCGTTATGGACGTGAAGATTTGGATGTTCTTGGGTTGACATTTCGCAAGGATCTCTATCTAGCCTCAGCTCAAGTTTACCCTCCAGTTTATGCATCCGAATCCGATAACTGTGGAAGGGTTCTATTAAATCCGGCAAGTACAGCTGTTTGTGGAAATTCTAAGCCTCCTGGTCCAGAAGTTTCTGAAGGGACAGAAGATAGTTTACATTCTGGTACTCTTCCACTGACAAGACTACAAGAACGTCTGATTAAAAAGTTAGGAAGTAATGCCTTTCCATTTTACTTCAAGGTAAGCTTTTAACTTCGAGTTATTTATATTTTGTACCAGAAATAGTCCCTAGGCACCAAAGGTAACTTGCCAATTTTTTGCACCAAGAATGTCAAAATAACTCAATTATCGGAAAGTTTTGCCCATCGTGGTCGTGTGGTTGCCCAGTAATAAAAGCAACAAACTAAATAGAAATAGGAAGACTCACCGAAAGAAGTGTCTTGATTGTTTGAAAAAGTGCAGCTAACTAAAAAGCGTTTGGTTGACCTAGTACAGATTGCTGGAGTATATAAATGTATTTTCGCAACACATAGCTTGGAAAGCGGGTCTTGATAAGATGATAATTGCACACTTTATGTTCCCAAAACAATTCTGACGAAAAGTTTACCTGCACAAACTTCAAGTCAAACTCATGAACACTATTGCTGAAATTACATAAGATATTGTGCATCACCTTGAAATGACAATTGGCATAAAGTGGATTAACAAACCAGCTGTTTGCATGGTATGAATTCAAAACTGTGTTTAATGAGGATATTTGTGGAAAGGTTTAATACCATCCCTTCTATAAACCATAGACGTTGAGTGTTATGGGCTAATTACAATGGCAAAGAAACACTTGATTTTTTTCAACCAGTTCTGAAATCTGCCTAAATTCAATCTCCGTCTATTTATGCAGTGATTTTATAGACAAACTTAGCTTTCGTTTATTATCCCGTCACCCTTCTACTGGTTCACGTTAAATATATTTAGTGTGGAGAAATATAAAAATTGTGTTGGTTGAATAACTGCTTTTTAATACAAAGCCACCAACTGATCTTTCGGATCATGAGTAAAACTTGCCGTTAAATTCACAAAGATGTTGGATATATATATTTTTGTACAACATTTGTTTTGACAAAATACTTAGTGGGTATTCAAAAATGATTTAAAAAGTTTAAGGCGCGATATATCCTTCATGTTTTTGAAAACAGTTTACTGGTATTGTACAACGTTTTGAAATGCTTGGTAATGTTTTACTAACCAGACTATTCAAACTTTCAGTAATCGTGTTTCTAGAAGAGATAATCAACTCAGACTTCTATGCTTTTCGAAATAAAAAAAGGATGCATTATAGTGTCAAACAAAACACATTTTATTCACTGTTTTACGACTTAGTATTTTTACACGAGTAAATTGAGGAATAATCGAAAAGATTTCTGATGATTATGGACGTTTGTATACAAAGTGGCTTTGAATATGAGAAGACAAGATCTATTCCCTGAAATAAACAATAAACCTCCTGAAGTTTCTTCGTTCCGATTTCTAAACTTGTGTTCAGATATTGAAAAATAAACTTTTATCTTATGTTATAGTCAGTTATTTCATATCATTTATCCTTCAGGATATTTATCAACTCGTGTTGTTTCGTTTTACATACATTTATTTGTTAAAGCTTCCTGCAGACGCACCTGCTTCAGTTACACTTCAGCCAGGTCCAAATGAGAACGGCAAAGTAAGCAAGACAAATAATTTGCCTTCTATTACAAAGTTTGCTTGAGGTTTCTACATATCTACCTAACTTTAATCCATTTATAGATAAGGAGTATTAGATAACTACAGGAATAGAAAATTCACTTGCACTATGATAACAAACCGTCTCAGTGGTATCTACCTTGGAGCAAGAAAGTTCGTGTTTTACAGTGTCATTAAATTAATTCCCGAATTCGATGACTTTATAGACGCTATAGTACGAATTGTTGGCAGTGAATGTGTTACTAATGGCTTTATCATTTTATCCAGCGCATTGTGTTTAGTTGCTTTGATAGATGGATATCCCATTTAATTTTCCTTGTTGGTTGTTGTACAAACATTAATCTCTTTTTTATAATAAAGTCGTTGAAAGCAAAAACAATTTCATGTTGTTTAGCATAAACTGTTTAGGGATATAAAGCAATATATTCTGATCAGACGGTTTCACTATGAAAATTGTTTTTTTGAACTGAAATCTATTTCTTTTGTCTAAACTACACTTATCACCATAACCGAGCCTTAGCAAATTACCTGCAAATCTGGTCTGTTTCATATGCCTAAGCGATATTAACTGTAGTTTTATAAATGTTTCAGGCAATATCGAGGATATGATGTTTCTGATTATAAGAATAATTCTAAAGTTATTATAGTTTTATCCTGACCAATTACAACAGTCATCGAATTGCAATATCTAATGCATATGAATGGTGTTTATACCAATTGACTACCACCCTAAGTACATGAAAAAGTCCGAACATAGCTTATAGCTATTTTGCGAGGCCCTACTGTTAGTGTTTTCTTGACACAACACAATCACAAAAACTAGTGTCTCCGATGATCAAATTATCAAGTGTCTCGTGAATATTTATATGAATATTTAACGTAATTGTGTCAGACAAGTTTTATGCAACGAATCATGACATCATGAAACGGGCTTTATCATGTCATCAGTCCATACAATTCAAAAAGATCTACCAGTATATCCATATACTGATATTCAAAAACTAGCATCGTCGATATGAATTATTAATAGTATGAATCTAATGTTGACACAAACCATCGACAAGTGTTAATGTAAATCTTTCGAACAGAATAGAAGTGTTAATTATCTAATTTTCATTTAATATTCCAACAATATTTTCCTGTGACATAAATGATCTCAATCAAAAACTTGATAATCTCCACAAGCCCTATAATAGTAATCAACATGTGCTCACTAGTAACTAGCTTCGTGAGGGAATTCTCGGAATTCTAGTGAGAAGCCATGACCAGTGGAGCTAGTCCATGTCGGGTAGAGACAGGTATCTACCTCAGTACAATGGAAGTTGGTCGCGCAATTTCGTGGATTGGTTGGCGTTAGACACTATCACCATTGGATGCCGGCTCAGTGGTCTAGTAGGTTAAGCGTTTGCGCGCGTGGCCGAAGGCCCTGGGTTCGAATCCCGCGAGCGGGATCGGGGATGTGAACTGCTCAGGAGTCCCACACTAAGACAAAACGGCCGTCCAGTGCTTCCAAGTTTCAAAAGGTGGTTTATTATCAATCGGTTCATGATCTCAATCAAAAACTTAATAATCTCCACAACCCCTATACTAGTGATTTTTAATTGCAAGTGAAATGTTTTGTCTACCATATAACATAAATTCAGTATTAGTTCACAGATAATTTCAAAATATCCTTGTACATGGAAGATTTCTGAAAATATTAAAATGATTTCATTTGTACTTTAAATGCTTTCTAAATGCAAAAATTCAATGTCCATTGCTCAAAGTACCTAAATGTTATTTAGTGAACAGATAGATATTCAAACCAAAAACCATTTAAATCTCCATTCTGTCTTAACTTTTGATTGAAATGAGATTATAATATTCGTGTCAGCTAGTTGTTCTCAGTATAGAGCCTGGGATGTGCTTTGACGGATGCTACCATATGATATTAGCACAGCAAGATGAAACTAACAAGGTAGATAGCAAATGAGATCAAGGCACTTTAGTAGCACTAACAAAAAGAAAAACTGATCATTTGAAATGTGGTCGGGGAAGACAGGGTTCAAAAAGTTAGATAGAAAGGATTACTGGAATACAAAATAAAGAGGAAATTAAAGAGTCGAAATATCTGCGCCACTGTGACCGATCCTGAGACATGCAATCCAAAGTTTTTTAATTATTTTCATTTAAACATTTGTAAATTATTCAAAACTGTGATTTTTCATTGTATACTTCAAAACAATAATTTATTTTTCTAGCCATGTGGTGTAGACTATGAATTAAGAACTTATGTGGCTGAGACATCGGATGATAAATTACAAAAACGGTAAGTTATGTATTATTTTTGGAAATAAAGAATTAACAGTTTTATTGATTGAAAAGTTAAAATAAAATAAACTGGAAGAAGTTTGATAAAATTATAAAACCTGATCAAGTATATTACATGTTGAGTTATGACTGGCAGTTAGCCGCTAGCTTGAATATCTGGGCCACCTGTTCTTGCCATCTAGAACAACAACAAGTTAACTGTTTTTTTGCTTGATTTAACAAATCGTAATATCTACTGATCGCATAAACTATTCAAGCGCATTTATGAAAGGTTTGAAACCTTTCATTGTAAAATTAGCAAGAAAGTGGAATCAGAGGCATCGTGGTAGCTGACCATATGCATTGAAATAAATGAAAATTATTCAGATGTCAATTCTCATACTGTTAACATTTAACTGGCGGCCACTCAATATTCATCACCAGAATCGATCAAGCAATAAGAAAAAGAAATTTTATCAGAATGGGTTTTGTGGAGATTGTTTAGAAATTTCACTGGTTGAAATCATGAGTCAATTGAAGCTAGACCACCATGGAAAACCTGGAAGCACTGGACGTCCGTTTCGTCCTGGTATGTGACTCCTCATCAGAGCACATCCACGATCACGCACCCCACGGGATTTGAACCCAGGATGCCGGCTCAGTGGTCTAATGGTTAAGTGCTCGCGCGCGAAGCCAGTAGGTCCTGGGCCCGAATCCCGTGGGGTGCGGGATCAGGGCTGCGCACTACTGAGGAGTCCCATATCAGGACAAAACGGCCGTCCAGTGCTTTCAGGTTTTCCATGGTGGTCTAGCTTCAATTGACTCATGATTTCAACCAGTGAAAAAAAAATTTGTTGAAATATTTTGTCCTGTCTATATTGTACTAGAAATATAATGTTAAATAAAGCCATTAATAAGAATAATAAATCACTATTGTTTAAGTTCTATTTTATGGTTAAAAATAAGTTTTCGAACCCATATTTTTTTGTTGTATCAGGGTATATTTTAATTTTCCCTTGTCTTGTGAGAAATCTGTTTAACAAAGAACAATAGTTACTTATTGAAACTATTCATCTAAACACACAAAATGAATCTTTAAAATGATTAGTTTATAATTCTTTAGTAATTTTAGTATTATTCTCATTTGAATATGAATACTTGTATCTTTTTTGAAATGATCTACTTCTAAACAAATTAGATGTCTTCCGACTAAATTGTTTGCATTTCCCTCAAAATAACAATATATGATAATGATTAACAAAATACTTTTGAAAAATGAGAGGTTTATTTGAATGAATAAATAAATAAATAGGCGGAAAATATTAAAAAACTAACATGGTTTTATACATTAAGGAATTTTTCTGAAAAAAAGATTTTGATAATATTTGTTGCCTAGTTTTTATTTATATGATGGTGGTAAATTCTTTTATTTGAATTAAGGTTTATTAGTTCTTTTTTCATAGTACAAATGAATAGTCAATGTCTAGTTTAATGTGTATGAAGTATATCATATATAATGCTGTTTAGTATTTGTATACAGACTTTTTCTGATTTGTTATTAAATAAGTTAATATAAGGTTAATTCTTCTGATACATCGATAAGAGCTGAAACTAGAGAAAGATGACTATGTTGTTTAGCAAAATTATTCATTATTCGGTCAGATGTAGTCGACTGGAGACTATTTATTCAAGTCTCATGTTCTTTGACACTCGTTATAATGGTATACCTGTAATATTGACAGAATTAGTTTTCGCTTACGAGTTCGATACAGTTTCATCAAGCTTCACAATTTTAAACGCGTTTTAAAGACTACATAAACATGATATCAGTCACTACTTAGTAATCAACTGTAAAGTTAATTGCTGTTTCAATTACTTCGTAATTAAAAAATTACTGTAAAACAGTCCTTACAGAAAGAAGCATACAGATTCGCGAGCGCTAAAGGTCTATTGTTTCTTGGCTTAGGACTCACTCTCATGTATCATAGATAAGATAATGCTACTGACTTAGCGTGTTTGAAATACAATGGATTTTCTGCTCTGATCAACTGGTAACAGTGCCATTTCATCATCAAAATGTCTCTGATAACTACTCAACTAACTGTACATTTATATGATCCTACTGATTATTACGATCTTACTTATGTATTATGTTCCCAAATACATAGTATGGCTTAGTCACCTTGATTTCATTTATATGATATAAATGATTGCATATGCATAAATTTAATACCTTGCTAGGCAAGGATAATAGATATTCAGTGCACATAACCTGTGTGAGGTGAGTAGGTGATTGTATATTTTTCGTACTTCTATGTTAAAAACAATCTAATCAACTGTAAAAATGTATTCTGAACACATTTTCGGTGAATTCGGTAAGTATATTAAAGTAACGTGTGAATATACCGAACAGAAAACATAAGTAATTCAAATAAAGCAGATCACAAATTGAGTTTCATCATAAATTGATAGCAAGCGGAAAACACTTGGAAAATAGGGAGCATCAGATAGTTGTTTAACTACAGTGTAAGGCTCCTAAGCAGATAATACGCACATGTTTATCAAAAATCGGTCTGAAGACCTTCAAAATTTGCTACGAGTTCATTATCTTTAGACTGACAAGTTGAAGTTTGAAGGTACAGATTTTTACTTTGAAACAATTTACATTGTTAAGTGACATCAATCAACGACAGTGGATGAAGTGGTTGCCCTTTACTAGTCATTTCTCATTAGGACTCCTTAAATTTAGCTGAACGCTAGTCTTTTAAGAGTGTTCGATTGATGGTAAGTAGAATTAATAAAGATAATATAATATTACATCGGTAATTCAAACAACCCTTTGTATTAATTTGATCTTCTTTAACGTATCGATATCCCTCAATTCTAATTCAGTTTCTTCATTATCTGTTTATGGTGGTCATAAGTATGGAAATGCGTGCGTGTGGCATTTGTACATCACATATTTAAAAAAAATTTCGTTTCGCATAGACGTCTGTTGCATGAAAAGGGACCTTTGAACTAGTGAAATTAATATTATTCTTTTTTTATATTCCGTTGAATATATCATACCATGTAATAAATGTCTTTTACTGTGGATTGTATGTCTCATAATAATTACTCATCCTATACAATGTTCATTTAATAGCAATGCCTGTTTCGGCTAGTACACTAGTTTTAAAGATCTTGTTTATTGGAAGTTGAAAATATCATATTTAATTTTGCTTAAACTATGTTTCTTAGTTTTAATATTTTTAAAAATACTAGTGAAATCATAGAAAAGTGGTGTGATTTATCACTAATTTTATGAAATATTTTATAGTGTCTACTTGAATGTCAATTCGTAGGTGTGTAACTGTTCAATGCTAGACACAATATCAAAATTATGTTTTATCAAGATGATGATATGTTATTTGAAAAATGCTTATGTAATTTACAATTCCTTACAATAAATGAGGGAATGTTTAAGTATTTTGTGATGTGTATTTACTTCTTGAAGTGTTTTTATTATTTTATCTTTACAACAAGGAAAAACGTATCCACCATGAAATCCATCTTACAGAACATTTAATAGAAGTGAACTTTATTGTTCAGCATACTGTAAGACGAAACACTAATAATTTTTCACATATCTGACTACTACCGATCACTTGCCTGTACTATCATTGAACTAAGTTGGAGAAGAGCTATAGGCTACCAGACCAATAAACGCCATCAGTATATGAAGTCGATGACTATTAGTCCGAGCTGTGTTTACAGATGCGAGGGTCCTTGTTTCTTGTTTATCATATAGTTTCGTATTGATGTGAAATATAAAAACGTACACAGATACACATAATCGGCTGTGCATATGTCAGGAGATTATTTCAAAATACTAAAAGTCATATAACTGTTACGTACGAATAGTCTTAAATATCGAAATCCAATAATAGAAAATACTAATATTTAGGGCTTAGTTAGATGACCACTGAGAACCAGAAAACACTGGACAAATGGTCTATCCTACTACAGGACTTCCAAGAAGAGCAAAACCACTTAAGCTTCAGGCAACTGATCCAGCATCTGATGGTTTACATGTCCAAAATCAACCAATTCGAAATATTGTATGAATACCGTGGATTGTCTACTGTAGATAACTGTCTCACAATTGATATAATTGAACATCACTGGTTACGGATCCTCACTAGAACTCCAGGAATCGCATCTTGACGCTAGTCATTAATAAGTATATTATTATTCTCAGTACAATGGAGTTCATCGAGAAATACAGATGAACAATAATGTATATGAAGTTGTAGTGTTTAGATCAATTAATAGAAAAACTTTAATTTGAATAACATTTTCTTTTATAAATGGAATGGTACATTAAAACCATAAATTGTGTTGTATTATTCAATATTAACTATTCAAATAATTACAAATGAGTTGTTTGCATAAAACATCAACTCCTTATTCAGATATAATTGTAGATAAAATTCTGAATAACTATGTGAATATCAGTTGAAAGTTCATCTTCTAGTTATTCATAATACACGCTTTCTTTTTTTTTAAAAAAAAACTATGCTAAATTAACTAACTGCTGAATTTCTATTGATCATTTTATTAAAAACCAAGAAAGTCTTAAGCGTAAAAAATGCCACATTTTGTCAAGAAATAAAGAAAAGTGAAGAAGTCTAATGAAAAATAATCCAGGGAACAAAAAGAAGTAAACGAGAGTAGCATGTAGTAAAAGATATACTTCAATAAAAAAGTACATCAGAGAACACCTTTTTAAAATTAAATGAGGTTCTCATATTTTTTACAAAGAATGTGAAACAGAACTATAGTAGAGCTTCTTCTGACTTTTATATTAAGCCATATTTGATTATGTCTCTAGGATATCAACTGAGCAGTGATGATGAACTAACAGATCCCAATCCTGTACAGATGTTTTTCATAACCCACAAACATGTCATAAACTTACCTACTTTAGGCTTTTTTCAACCAGTCTCAGCGTCGATAAATGTTATAATGTGGAGGTCACTAGGACGACAGATCCAAGCCAAACAAGCAGAGACAACGACGATCAGACACAGATAGTCACCGAGCATCACCGACTCAGAAGGGCCAGGTTTCAAATGGATACAGCAAAACTGATTTTACTGCCTAGTTGTAAACCTGATCTTTTAAGGTCAAATCAAAATCATGAACTCGACAAAGATGGTCCAGACTAGCATAAACCGCTTTGACTTTCACTATGTGTAGATTTATCTCTTCAATTACGCTTCAACGAATACTTACACGGCTTCGCAGACGCACGCACATCTCAACTTATTCTAACTACTTACTGTCTGCGAATATTGGTCGTCAACTGAATAAGTAAGATTTGTATCGCTTGTGTTTCATCGCACAGCAAGACAATGTAATCTACATACACATTATAACGGATATAAATCACTTCTAAAGCTTTTTTCTCAGAATGTCATCAATGTCAGAGTTGAAGAGAAAGGGTGAGATTGGACAAGCCTATTTAACCTAGTTTCTGAAATGTAACAGTGGAGGGAGTTGGTTGCATACTCTTACTTCTCCTGAGGCATTTATGTACAGAGCATTCAAGATGTTACTAAGTTTTTTAGACACCCCATTCTTCAATAGCCGAACACAGAATAAAATCGTGGATTTCTCATACCTAATTATGAACCAGACTGTTCATCTAAAAGTTGGCAATACTACCTGAGTGCTCAAATTGAAGTATGTGAAACGAAGTCTGAATCTGTAACTCAGTAATTAAAGATGAAAATGATTGCCTTGAACAACTTGTTTAAAAAAGCACTTGGTAAAGTAACTAAACTACTAATGTTTTCACTCATGAGCTCGTGATTAATGTTTGAAAACAGATCGATTTTTATTATTTTATTTTTATCAAGATCATCGTTTCTATCATTCACTGAGTGTATGTACTTATACGTGTGTGCATTGTTTTTCTAAAAACAAAATTCAATTTGCCAATTATTTTGGTGATAATTGATCATTTCTATAATATGATTGAATGTTTTTGTTTTTTCATATTAAACTATTACAGCTCATTTACTCCAATTTTTGCAGCCGAATGTTTTTATGCGGAGCTATAAGCTACCGCCCGGACAATCAATTACAGTGTAATAAACGGTGAATACTAATATTAACAATAATAATACTAATACTAATAATGATAATAGTAATAACTGCAATTCTTAACAATTAATAATATTGGTATTAATCAAACTAAAATTGCTCTGAGTGTTTTGGTTTATATATTTATGGTGATGTTATATTGTAAAAATATCTGAAAATTTTAACGTGGTGTAATGTAAATTATAATAAGTAAGATTAACTAACATTTTCTGCTTCCTTATTGATGTTAATAGAACCCCGATGAAAGAAAGAAGTTTTGATTAACCTATACTTCATTACCAAACTTTTTTTGAGTGTTTGAAACTGAGTTTGTGCTTCTATTAAATTGTAATTAACATAAAAGAAATAATAAATAAATGGAAAAATACATAAGAAATAAAATGAAGATGGTTCAATAAAAGAAACATTTGTCTTCAACGACATTCTTTACTTGAGCTGTATACTTGTATGTCGAAGACAAAGAATAACAGAATAACTAATACTGAAAATTTTTAGTAGTGGAAGGAGTCCAAGGATAGTAAAATAGAAGACTGAATATGTGATGTTTTCTCACTGAGATCATGCTTGAGTTAATGAATTACTATAGACTCATCTGTGCACAAGTTTACTGTCTACGTAGTAATGTAAGGTAGTGCCCAAATAAACGTTTGGCAAATGCAAACTCTATACTGTTAATATAACATGCCTTACAAGATCGAGTAAAGTGGTAGATACAGATCGATAGTACAAGTAATATTTTTTGTGTTTGTTTGGGTGCAACCAATGTTGAAGTTAGGCATAGGATACTGGCAAACAAGTCGATGACGTAGTGAACCTTTATCGACTAAGGTGACTAGGAGAGATTCTATGTATGTCTAACCACCGCCTACTCCGATGAGGAATGCTTAGCAATGCAAAAATAGGTTGGAAGAAAGGTAGATGCAATAAAACTAAAAACGTGACAGTCTATGAAGTCATTGAGTGTTGGTTCGAGGCATATTGGCAGATTCAGACTATTTGGGCAAGGTCAGTGTGATAACCATGATCAGTATCTGGAGACGTTTTGTGAAATGAATCAGAATCGTTCACAGTGACTCAGATATACTCAATTTTATTTTACTGTCGATTTTGTGTTCCGATACTCCTTCATGTATACTTTCCCAATGAATTTTTGAACCCTTTTCTTTTTTAACCGTGATTGCTATTACGTTGTTTTGATCACTTTTGCTATTCATTCGCTTAATTTCACTTCATCGTGCTATTGTGGTATGGAAACTTGAAGCCACTCAACTTTGATAATGACTGACTGTGTGTTTGAGTGTGTATCTATGAAAACAGAAGTGATAAACAGGAGACAGGTATTATAATTTATTCTATTCCATTATATAAGAGAAGTTTAGTGTATACGGTGTTATTTGGAGTGACTTTTTTGTTAGTTAACAAATTTCTGTAATCCATACCTGCGCTAAACTGCTTTATAATGCAAAATCTCATCAATATGGTGTAGCATAAATTCACAATAACAACAATTATGATGAATACTTGTTTTTTGTGTGTGAATGATTTTCTCTTAAAGTTAACTTTAGTGTTAAACTATTATCATTCTCTAATTTATATTTTTCGAAATCAATAGTAATGCTGTTCGACTTGCTATTCGTAAACTGACTTATGCACCAGAAGAACCAGCCCCACAACCATCTGCAGTGGTCCTTAAGGAATTCATTATGAGTCCAGGTACACTTCGTTTGGAGGTCTCTCTAAATAAAGAAGTAGGTAGTTGTTTTACTGATTTTAAACTTTTTCTGTTTATTTGGATTAATCAATTTGCTTTAAATATTTTCATTCCAGATTTTAAAATCTCTAAGAACCTATAGAAAAATAACCCAAATAAATATTATTTAAAGATAAGATTGATTTATAGAATGAATAGAGAAGGGAATGGTAATATAAAGTCTACGAGTTGACACATAATTTTCCTCCTGATAACACTTTTAGTAGTTTTTAACAGTCGAATTAATGAGTCTATTAAAGCTAGACCACCATAGAAAACCTGGAAGCGCTAGACAGCTATTTCGTCTTGATATGGGACTCCTCAGCAGAGCTCATCCACGATCCTGCTCGTGAGATTCGAACTCAGGACCTATCGTTCTCGCGCGCGAGCGCTTAAACTATAGACCATTGAGCTGGTATCCAACGGTGTTAATGTCCAACTTTAACCAATCCACGAAATTGCACGACCATCCACCATCGTCTTCAGCTAGTAACTGTTTACATTGGACGGTTGACCTCCACTGGTCACGGCTTCTTACTGGAACTCCAGGAAATACCTCATGAAGCCAGTCTTTTTTAAACACATTTTTGGTATTGTTGAGTTTTAAGAGCCACTTGGTTAAGTCGCGATAATGACTGCTTCACAATCTATCCATTTCAAAGAATGCCACACCATAACAGTCTGCCCAAAACTCCAACCGTTTTCCACTTTTTAATGAGTATCTTATTGATTAAGTCAACGATAAACCTTTTCTTTTTTCTTGTGTGTGGATTGTATTTGTTTGAATTTTAGATATCAGATTTGTAAATGAAATTCCATGGGACTTTCTTGGAATACGGATTACCGAATACTTTCATCCTGTTACTTTTGAATAACTGAACAAAATTATTTGTTAATGATCTTTTTTACTCAATAAGTTATTACAATTTCTGATCATCAAACTAAACTGTAATCAAATAGATCCATTAGTTTACAAATAGTAACAGTCAGACATAAGATGTTAAATGTTTGATAAAGAATCACTTCAATATTACACAGTCACACTCATTGGTTTGTATTATATATATTTGCCTTTATTGCTATATTAAGAAACGTAATTTCGTTTCTATGATCGTGTCATTGTTTCATCATGTAAGCTTATCATTTATTGATACCATGTAAAAATATCAAAAGTGGTTTTCTTCGGGGATTATACTCAAGTATAAAACCTAAATACATAATGAAAAACGTAATGAAGTGATATCAGAAGATAGCATCACATGATAGTTGATAATCATACGAGGCTGATGCATTATGTTTTCTATTTTCGAGTCAAATATCTTATTACATATAAAGAATGCTTCCTTAGGTAATTCTGGAGTGCAATGAATGCTTTTAATTCTTTTGTAAAAGGTTTAAATACATACATTTTGTAGTTTATTATCAAAACTGGTTATATTGTTCTCCAATGAATTATAAATGAATCACTTTATTTTTCGTTTCAAACCGTATAAAAAAATTAAGTTATTCGACATTGTAGCTATATTTATATAGAGTGAATTTCGCGAAAATCGTTTTATGACTTAAAAAGCAGATTTAATCACGTACTGAGATTCACTAGTAAAGCATTATAAGCATAATGAATAGATCATAACTAAACAAATACTGGAAATCAGAAAGCATCAGTAAACTATTTTGTCTTATTACTAAAATCCTAAGCAAGAAACATCTACGTCCTTACCGGAGATGTAACACAGAACGTTTGGTGTCATGTGCGAACGTTTAAGTTTTAGACAGCCAATTCGGGGACCGATTGTGTAGATGTCCGAATCCAATCAGTTAGCAATGTTGCTTGACCATCTTGCATTACCTGCTATGAATAATTATCTCAGGGCGGCCTGCTTGAGCATCTGGGCTACCTGTTCCTGCCATCTAGATATTTCAACAAGTTATCTTTTGTTGTTTGTTTTAATATATCATTATGTTTATTAATCGCATAACCTATTCTGCTGCGTTTCTGAAAAGTGTACAACCTTTCGTTGTCAAAGTTACAGAAAACTCAATAAGAGACAATATGGTTGCTGGCAATGTAGAACGAAAAGAATGTACATTATTCACTTGTTCATTCACTGAAGTGCGAACATCTAACTGGCGATTCCTCAATATTTATCGCCAGGACCGACCAAGAAGAAAGAAACGGAAACTTGTTGAAATACTTTGCGCTGAGAATTCTATATTGTACCAAAATTATAATATTGAATAAAGCTAATAATAATAATAATAATAATAATAATAATAAAATGTCCAATATTCTTGTTAAATAATTGTCAGTAATATACACTAACAACACTGATTTTACATTGATTATAAATGTACATCCATTGATCTGTTTTCTCATCTATTTGCTTTTTTCCTTCATTTCCCTCTTCATTCATTTTCTTGTTCCAACCAATGATAATACCATCATCAACAACACTAAATAGAAATATTATCATGGGGAATCAATAGATATCAATGTTTTGGTAGACAATAATTCAAATAAGACAGTGAAAAAAATCAAATTGTCAGGTAAGTATCGCTCTCTCTCTCTACACACTCACACATAGGCAAACATTTACACAGGTTCGTACTTACAAATTATTATGACTATTATTTGCAGACATTTTTTTATTGTCCAACATGATCTATTGTATTTTCTTAACTTGAGCTATATTAAAATCGTTATTTGAGAATTGAACTAACAAAGGTGTTTCCCTTGAATTTCAACGTTATTTTATGTATACCCAATTTGTTTTTAATTAATAGTCTGAGTTATTAAGGATGTATTTGGATTGTCACAGATGTAATATAATGTATATATATATATATATATATATATATATATATATATATATATATATATATATATTGTACAAACAGTATTTCTGACGTACACGATTTCCTGATAAAATCATTAACTGTATAGCCACAAAAATTGTTGTAAACAACTATCCGAAGAAATGTCTGTGAATAATTTGTGAGAATTGAAAAGAAATCGTTTATTTGTCGACAATGTCCAGATTAATCATGACGTCAATAAAAAAAATATAATAATAATAATAATTACTATTATTATAGTCATAATAAGTAATTCTAGTCATTAAAACTAGTTTTCTCTAATTAATCGAAAATACCAAAATTTGCCAAATTTACCATGTTCTTTTTGGATTCCATCAAAAAACGCCGATTGTATTTTTTTTCCTTCTTATCATGATAAACAACAACTTCCGATTTATCTTGTTTTGTTTTTTTTTTGTTTGTTTCTCTACAAGAAATCTTGATTTATATTTCCATATGATTGTAACTACAACAAAAGCTTTCAGTGTTCGTACAGAGTACAAAAATAAGTATTTCTTTTATCGATTTATTTATTTATTCAATAGTTCAGGATCATTTTGAATAATTTAGATACTAATTGTTATAAATATTCATGCTTGGTGAATGTTTAATTGTATGTTTTAGTTGATTGAAATAGTAGTTTTGGTCAACTGTCAATATGATTAAGTAATTTTCTCCAAAATTAGTACTTTAATATGTTATTAAAATTTTTGCAATCAATCAAATATTATCCAATAAAAATAATAACGAAATTATAATAAGTAATATATTTCATTTTCTTTTCTTTTCTTTTTAAAGTTGTAAATATTCAAATAATTTCATTGTTTACTAAGTTTGAATTTCCATAGTCTTGACTGGTATTGTCAGTTTAACTATTGTAGTAAAACTCTGAAATAAGAATAGAAATGTTAGTTAGTTTATTAAACTAAACTGGTTAGATAAAGGTTTAAATTAGTTGATAAGTTTTTGATTACTACAATCAAATCAAAGTAGGTAAGATTACGATTAGATCGTTTATTCATCACATTGAAAGATTTTAAACTGATTTACTTGACATCACGAGTCAATGTAAAGTTCGACAATTTTCCTTTCAAGAGTTTTGATTCTTCCTCAACATATTCAAAATTTCTTAGATATTTAGGCGTTTCTACCAATGAACTTGTTTCATTAAATATGCCTTCATGAACGTATGATTTACAAAAAACGTTATTCTTTTGCTTGTTAAGTTTATAATTGGAAAAATGTATACGAGATTATTTTCAGATAAAAATATTTTTCATTCAATCCAAGCACGACAGACGAATATCTGTCAGCCTTAAACAAACTCTGTTGATTGGATCTTTTTGATGTTCTTACTTGAATATTTGGATATTATTTATTATTTATACTGAATTTATGTCTATGGTCATTCCAAGAACTATTTTTATTTCAGTGATTACATCTTTTGCATACAGGAAACGATTTCATATAATTTAAGAATTGTCTTTGAATGACTGTGATTGAATGATAGCTTATACTAATTATTATTACTACTATTACCTTACTTTTTTTCCAAATTTCATTCTTACAAATATATTGCATATACGTTTGTTTGTGTACACTTCCGTTTTCTTATTCTATCTGATTTCAATTTTATTGTTATGAGCATTTCATTATTCACTGCAGTACGTAAAATCTCTTTATAATCAGATTTCTTCTGTGTATACTTGTTGTTCATGGTTGCAATTATATATATATATATATATATATATATATATATATATATATTATATTCCTTTGTTATTTTTCCTTCTCATTAATTAAACAGTAGAAGATAATTAAATGTCATTTTTAATTGATGTATCATAAATTTTCATCTTTCTGTATGCATTTCTATTTTTTTCCTGTCGTAATTGTTTTTGATCACATTTTCCCCCTTAAAGTTATTCAAATTACAGACATTACATTGTTTAGTCGTGCCGTATACAAATGTACAGTTGATGAAGCTGAATATGAGTAAGAATTAGTTTAGTGTTATCTTCAATGCATATAACTTAAATAATTATGCATACATATATATAACTCTTTATTCATGGACGTTATTGAATGATCATATATCCTTACCTTTTGTGGATGTGATGTTGGAATAGTTTTCATCTTGTTTTTATTACTATATCGATTTTGGGTATGTTTTCTTTTAAAATTATTATTGTTGTGTGTTATATCTGTGTTGTTATTGTTGTTTCTTTTCAGTTATTTATGAGATTCCCAAGAGAATTGTTCATCTCCCAATTGTTTAAATGATTTCAATAGTTGTATACACGGTTGAATATTCAATTATACTTAAAAATTTCCCTTTTATTTAAATCGTTTGAAAATCATTTATTACTGCATTTGAATAGTTAACTAAAAAAACAACTTATTAACCTAAATTGAGATGACATAAATAGGTTCCATAAAGTACTATTCTAAACGATAAATTTCATGGAAAGGTATCACTGTACATAAACAATCATTTATAGATTTGAACTGTTTTGTTTATATTACCAAGTATTCACTCTTCAACATGGAATATGTAAACTTCAGTAAAGTTTTATAGTTTTCTAAGATGAAGTTTACGTCCATTCTATATAGGTTCATTCATATTGTTTATATGATAATTATTCAATTAATAATTTGTTTGAGTGGAAAACATGCAATAAAGTTATATAGTCATACAAAAGAATACTATTTTACAATGATATTTTATATCTAGCGATAGTAGCAATAATTTTCAGAATATGACAACAGAAAATGAAATAATCAGAATTACAGAGATATTGTTTCTAACAGCAAACTGGAAATGTACTTGGTTAATCTTTAGAAATTAATTTTAAAGAGGGCCATAAAAACTAGGCAACTATTTTTATTATAAAAATAAACTACAAAAGAAAATAAGATAAAATTTTGGTCATAAAGGGTTTAAAAGCATCAATAAATCTGTTAAGAGTATGTTAATTGAACAGAGAAGGAATAGGTGATAATTTGGTAAAGCTAGTGATTGTGTTTGTGGTAAGAGAAGAGGTTGAGTAATTTTATTTAGGTTACATAGTTTTGACCTCTGTATGTAAATAAAATCTTGAAGGATGTAAAAGTTAACGACTTTCGGCAGGTAATTTTTCATCTGGTATAGGAGTTTAAATGATTAGCACTTTTTGATCGATTGACCTGTATGTTCACAAGTTATCTATTACTGACCTACTGTGAATCTACTACTGTATCTTTTTAACCAAGCAATTTATGCCTAGCTTCACAAGAGTAAATACTGGAGTGGCTGTGTCTGAGGTCTCTTCCTCTATTCTACTGGTAAATATGAGTAGGCTAAAACATATCAAACTTAAAGGTGTTGAGAACCAGAAACTTTTCCTTTAAGCCAGGTGCTCTTTGTCACCTTCTAGGTCAATTTTTATTATATATATCTTTTTTTACTGAATCCCTGCAAAGTTTGCGTTTCCCGTTCTCTTCAAAAATTTTTGGCTAGTATACGTTCCCCATTAGTAGTTGTTTTAGGGTCGAGAATTCTTCTATGATCTCGTGCCTACAAATAATATATAATTGTTTCTATACATCTTTGTCAATGAAATCGTCAAAAATAGATTTGTTTTACTAAATTAATTATTTGTTTGATGAGAATTTATTAACAATAACAATCATGAAAATTTATGAGGATTTTTAACCAACTGGTTTATTTACACTTGGCTCTACGAAAAACTAACCAGCTTTCTGATGTTTTGTCAAATCCATAAACTATTTCGATATATATATATATATATTCTGAAATAAATACGTCATTTGTGTATGTTTATTAATTTTTCTATAGGGTACATTAGTTTACTTATTTTAAGAGGAAACATCCATTAAATTTTAGCTCCTATACATTTAGATATGTTAAAACATGTTCAATCGGCTAAACTGTAATATTATTCTAGAAATAAGCTTCCATTTATGTAATGTTTATGTCAGCAAGTAACAATATTCATAAACTTTTAGTATTATACAAACGTATGGTGTCCAGAAGCAAGTTTATTTGTAAATAGCTTATACTTCAAATGGAATTGTGAGTATATTTCATTCATGTTGAAGTACATTTAATAATTTTCATATGTTTGATAATAGCAACAAATCGATCAGCATATTGTTTTTCAAAAACATACATCAAGTTTTGGGCTTAACATATAAAGTCAACCCTACTACTAGCTATCTTTAGTATTTCAGTCAACTTGTTACTCATTGCAACGCATCATGCAGTTTCAAATATATTCCGTTTCTTAAGACTTCTGGTTCTTTAAATTGTTTATCGCTGAAATATTTAAAAAGTTTTGTCAGTTTTTAAATAAAATGGGAGAATTTTTTTAAAAATGTAAGGTTTTTACTATTTCGTTGGTCTTTTATATTAGTTTGTAGCATTTCTTGTGAGTAACTTAATCGTACTAAGTGTTATTCTCTGATTACTTAAACAGTAAAATATTTTAGTCCACTTATTAAAAATCCATTCACGTAACTTACAGGAAAGCAAATTATTTCAATGATCTGATGTTGAGTTATTTTCTTACTGACGGTTATCAAAAGAAATCGGTTGTCTTCGAGTAAAGATTTCCTAACCACGAAGGGAGGTGTTCACTAACTCTTTGGTTCAGTTACCTGGTAGTGCGCCTAATATAGCTTTCTCCACAGGAGCAGCTGAATTCTTAGATGCACATAGAAGTGGCATAACCAGGTAACTTATCCCTCAGTTGGGGAATCACCACAGATCGGGTCGAATGCGATAGACAGAGGTTGGCAACATTAAACGTTCTCTTTACTGCTCTAGTCAGTCTATCATGTAATACATCACTATCTACATCACCACTGAATTGCAGCTTCAAGAATAGAGGTTTCTTATGAGCCGTTAGTGTCACTATTTTCCTGCTTGTTACACGCAAGTGTTTCTTTAGGAAACTTTGTGGATAACCTAATTCAATCAACATATTATGAATATACTCTAATTCCTTATCAATTGTGCCAACTGAGCATATCTTAATAGCTCTATTTGCCAGACATTTGACTAAGTTTCTCTTATATTGAAGAGGCACAAAGCTTAAAAATGCGTGTATTGGCTTGAAGAATAACTTTTTCGATACACACCTCTACTGATAGAACCATTTTCTTTTCTTTTTAACAAAACTTCAAGGAAATGTAGTTTATTATCTATTTCCTCTTCATATGTAAATTTAATTGCAGGATGTTTGTTATTAAATAGTTCTAGTAGTTGTTCTTCTCTAATGTTCTGATCGGCAATGATGAAATTGTCATCAACGCAACGACAGTAGAAATCACGCTTATTGATAACCTCTTTGAGAGGTCCGTGCGTCTATGAATTCAGCTGCTCCTGTGGAGAAAGCTATATTGGGTGCACTACCAGACAAGTGAACCAAAGAGTTAGTGAACACCTCCCTTCGTGGTTAGGAAAAGGTAACATCAAGACAATACGCAGCTCGGTTCTATCACACTTGATCGATAGCGGTCATGTAGTGGACAGAAACAAGTCATTTAAAGTTATTTATCGTATTCCCACCAGTTTTCCTTAATGTGTTCGCTCTCGTCTCTTACACATAGCAGAAGCTATAGGAATTCGAGCCAACAAGTCAAGTCTTTCTGTAACACCCTTATCTCTTCCTTGGCCTTAATAAATGAATTTATTTATTATTTTTTCAAACTTTCTCTTCGTTTATTATTTTTCTTCGCCCCTCCTACCATTTTATTTTATTTTCTCTCAAATATACGTTTCACGGTCCAATTATCTGAACACTTCCTATTACGTCATTTTATAAATGTTATCTCACTGTCTTTTTTTTCTAATCATTGACCTGTTTCCGATTATGTAATATTGGTTTGAGCCTTTATTATTCTTATCAAAACTAATGCACCTGTTATCATACTACCAATTAGTACTTTTCACTTTTCACTTATGTAGTCGTTTTCATTGTTATCATTGATTCACAAACTACCTTGATTGGTTTAATGATTTCATATATGCATATAAATATTACTGTATATTCGAGTAAAGCCTGATGAGGATCTAATCGAAAACAATATTGTTCGCCTATATGTGTTGTTCTAAATTTTACTTTCTGCTTATTATATAACTATCTTTTAATATGTCGCCCGTTATCAGGCATGAATATTAATGAGATAGTAAACGCAGCCAAGATTTAAAAATGTTTCGTTCAGTTTTGTGAATTCTGGTTTAATAAATTTACAATCCTTTTCACGAATCAGAGCACACTGACCTATATAAACTCAAAACTTGCTGCAGTCGTCCCAGTACCGTTTCAAATCTGAGTCTTAGTTGGTTTGATGTTCCTTTTGCGATATTGTCGTAGATATTGATTCATTAACTTCTAAAACAAACGTATAACTACTAACAGCATCAACCAGTAAATTCATAATTAGATTTTACAACAGGATAATTCACTTTTAGGCTGGTTATTAGGGAAAACTAAACGCCATCTTGGAAGTTTATAACATAAATATCACAGATTAGTACAGTGGCACAAGCATAACGGTATCAAGAATCCTAATTGATCACTTACCCTTTATGTATATATTTGTATTGGTCAATAGCCAATTACATTTAGCGAGAACAGGTCAATTCCGAATTACCTCGCTTACATCACTGTGAAATTCATTGTTATTACCGATGATAGCATGTATTACAGCATCTCAATCACACTGGCTTTCAACATAACGAGAAGGGACTACCAAAATATATGAAGTCTGTTACTCGGCAATTCAAAAGTGCACATTCTTGTCAATAAATTCTACTTGTTTAACATCACACCGTCCATAACATGACTAATTAACCTCCATTTATCCGAGAGATTTTTCATCCTTTGCATTTATACTGACGTTAATTTTCTGAGAGTTCATAAGGGTGGCATGCAAGACCATATACTTCCACGTAATAAGATGCAGACACGGTTGAAATCCAAAATTTC